AAGAAAGCGACATCCCTTTTCATCAAGTAGTTTTAGTAAGGAAATAAGAATGTACTCTAGACTTTGTTTAGATTTTCGTAATGTTAAATCTCGGACAGTCCAAGGATGCATACCCATTACCTAGGTTCGATGACCAATGATCTCCTTTGTTGGTCTAGTTCTACCTAAGCTGACCCTTCGAGCTCAGTTATTGGAAATATTGAGATGGAGGAACTAACAGTATAGCAGGTTTTCGTCGGAATTAGTTTTATGAATGTCATTATCTAGGAACTTAGTCAGCATTCATAAACTTATCATAGAATCTTAGTTCATTGACGATATTAATTATTTCCTTGTACATTTGAAGACACTTTGATTCGCCTAAAAAATGTTTCGCAAGACTTCTGAATTATCGCTGAAACTTAAAGGTCAAGTAATTTTGAGAGAGAAAGAGGAGAGGCAGAGAGTCTGAAAGGATTGCTACAGATCCTGAAAAGATTATGCTAATTATTACGACAAGTTCTATAATATTATCTCAACTTCGCTCTTTCTTCGGGAACTCAAGGCAATTCATCTAAAATTCCTAAAATTGCCCATCCTTGAAAATAAGTCTGAGCCCGAACCAAATCTATCTCAGTCAAGTCACCAAGTTCCCTTGGACAGGAAGTGTTGATGCAACCAATCACATTTTGATACCTCTTAAAGATAAGGCTCTCTTCACCTCCTGTCTTAGCTTTGCCAGACTTTTAACCAAACCTTCATTAGTCTAAGATGCATATCACGGCTAGTGCATATTTTGCTCAGCAGCAAAGAGAACTCATAGCCTGTCATAACTTACGCTAGTCAGTTGAGACCCATGAACGGAACATCCAGCCCACAAGCCGTTCCGCACTAAATGCAACAGACAAGTATAATTATCCTATAGCAACAAATACAGTCTTCGAAGAACAACAATCCCCTCACTATTGTTATAAATACAGCAAAAACTTGATGCACAGGCCACAGGATGGTCGCTGCATATCTAACTTCATAGATTTTGACTAATTTATAATCAGGTCATTTAAATGTGACTGTGGTTAGTCGCAAACCACCATCATATTTTGCTATTGCAGTAACCCTTTTTGGTGCGTTGTTTCTTCTTAACATGCAGAGTGTTGTCAGTTCAACCCCAAAAAAATTTGGATTTACCCTAATGGCCCTCTCATCCACTTTAGAACTCTGAACCTAATAAATGGGCCTCGAGCAGTCAAGCACCAATATCAAAGTAAATTTCTAATTTTGCAGTAAGTTTCACCCAAAAGGGTAATATACTGTAAAACTACTTATTTTGCAGAACCTTTTCGCGAAATGAGGCAAATCCAAAAAATAAATTTTTTGCGTCATACAGAATCCGCGTCTTCCAGAAAATGTGAACCGAAACGCCGATGCCATCGCATATTGTTGCTGTCCTGTCCGTTACTAACAATTGCATCGTTGTCCGTGCGAACGAAGCAAATATTCCGTATCGTTTCTATAGCTTGGCTTAATCTTCTGTTAAGTGAACCGTATCTAAAAAATAGTCATATGGTGATAATTATTTTTCAACTGTTCTGCATGTCATTGTCCCGATTATACTCCGTCGCCTCTAGCATTATGTTACTAGTATGCAAAAAGTGTTAAAGTTCACTGATTGCTTCAATAGGCAAAGCACACGAAAATAATTAAATGGTATGTAACTTGGTCACCCTGTAGTAAACGTTTTTTTGAATGTTACCCCCTCGGCATAAACTGTAGTTATACAAATAGGATCATAAATAGAAAATTCAAACAACTTGCAGTCAGAACTACTACACAAATCAGCTATTCTGAACACTAATAGCTACAGATGTAACAGAACTTGTTTCGATACTTTCCCGAAGATATAATCCATTGTTACATCCCATTTGGATAGTGCATTCGGACAAGTTACCTACGCGAGAAATATAATTTACGTCTTAGAAACCGCAGAATATAGCAAAAAAAATTCTCGCGAATAATAAGTGTTTACATACCCAAATGGTCAATACTCTCGTGATAGTCCGTTCATTATGAGAACGTAGTCTCTACCGTACGCGAACGATGGTAGCCCGTCAGACAATTGATTTTGCCTGATTCTCATCCACCATTGCTTTCAGGTGTCCAGACCAGGTGCCACCAGGGCATGAGAATTTTGGCTTGCTGACACTCGAAGCTGATGTAAGAGATGAAACTTATCAAGTAATGTGGTTTACCATCGACCCATTAAAATTCAGCAATGCAACATTGTTTGCATTGACTCCTGACATTAGAGAGTCCAAAAGGGTACGAGATGTTTTACGTCATAACAATATCAATTTACTGGTATGCATAAGCTAATCCCCGCCAGAATCCAAAGCCACAACATGGGGCTGAGCCTTTTATGAACATTTTCATCATTCACTATTCCTTCCCAGAAACGTACATTTCTGACCAGGTCTAATTCGAAACAAGAAAGAACTCTTAAGTAGCCAAGTCAGGAAAAACAAGGACAACACCAATTTACAATGGGTATCATACTTCAATAGAACCCTTATACATCACTACCCCTGGCAGATGACCACAACAACAGTGGGCTGATTATGTTGCGCCTCCGCCAAAAAGCATACAAATGCTACTAATAACTCCATCAACGGATCTCACGCACCTCTAATGTTTGTGCACCCAAAGCCCTCATAGACGCATATTATAGGCACACCTCCCCTGGAATGAGTCTGGTGTAAGCATGGCCCTCAATATGTTTTCTAGATCCAATAGTCGAAGATTCTACAACTACATGAAGCAACTAAGCAAAAGAAGCGAGCAAGAACAAAGGCAATATGACAAACGGTAACTGAAAACAGATATCTGTCGATATGTCCTTGCCGCAAAGTTAATTTTGCAGGAGGACAGAACATATAATGGGAGAAAAAATCCTATATTGTTATAGAAATCCCTTATGAAGCTCAACGCCGTAATAAATCCAACCAGAAACTCGCAAAAGACCATTCGTACCTCACACGCAATACTTCGGCTTTCTCAATACCCTGAACGAACGAACCCCCGAAACCAACTAGCAATGGCTAATGCTCACTCGATCAAGTCCCATATATTCCCTAAGAAGACAATCTCATCCATATCCAACATCTATTAAAGAATAAATTCCATTACCTCCACCTTCATCAATCAGACTCCTATACCTTTTGTTACACCATAGCACCTTATCCAGACTGACCCATCAGAGAACAAAACCGTTCCACCCTGACGTTCACTCAAATTTATTTGTTTAAGTACTTTAGGATAAAAACCTAAATAATTAGTGTCTGCACTTGCTTATTAAACTGTAGTTGTTAAAACTAAAACCCAGACTTTATTCAATTGAGCTAATGGATAGATAATATTTTTTGTCTAAAACGCAAATTCAGATTGATTGAATATGCAAATACTTAATCGTTTCCCTAAAGTTGCGTAAGGTATTTCAAAATCACTACTGATTTGCAATTTTCCCATTTATGGATTGATAAATAATCACAGTTCACTTGCACCCATAGGTTTTAACAGTGATAATACAAACATTCATAAATAATTTATTTAATGTGGAATCAATTAAATAATCTATAAACAATATCTTATTAATTTTAATAAAAATTCATCAACATTCAAAACCAACAATCACTTCAAGTAATAAAAAAAAAAGTTCTTTTTCTTTGTGTGCAAACATAAGCTCTTATGCACTATAAACTCAACCTACACTCACCGAACTCATACTATCAATTATCATTCATTAAAAACATCACGATTATTCCAATAGTCTAATATATCATACAGGGAAAACTCAAATAACCCATTGCAATTTATATCTAATTGTTATCTCCCTTGATATAGTAACATCTCCATATACATAACATATATAGAGTTAGTTGATTATTTAATTTCAACATCAAGGAAAATGCTGTCCATTTAAACTAGGGGAGTGGAAAAGGCAATTCACGCCTATCGTAAACCATCCCTAAATATTTACAAAACACAGTTGTAAACACGTAGTAATAACTAACGTACATTTTCATTCACTCATGCATACACATGACATCCTTTTCATTCATCATTATAAAAATAGGTAATGTCTGTCTGTCTTGTGTGATTTAACTGATGCCGTAATTCTTTGTAAGTCATTGTTATTCCGTGTTGTTAAGTGATGTCCAATAAAATTCTTATATTGTTAAGTAAGAAGAAGTGATTTCATTTCCTATCACGGGCAGTTAACATTCCTTTCTAAAGAAAATCATTTTCAAAACTTGCATGTAAAGTAACCGAATCATAGTTTCTTTATAGAAATTTGACATATATATTTATATAAAACAACTTTACGTTTGTCTTTAAATGAAGGATTTGTTATTAAATTTATATAACAGAGTCACCAATTCACCTGTAAAATAGTTACTTAAATTACTTATAATAAATGTAATGAAATTATGAATAAATAATGAAATTGTTTAAAACATAATGTTGAAAAATGATATGAATGTAATTTAATTTTTTGCTGTATTTAATAATTGTTTAATTTCATCTTTATAGGTTTCATTACACACATAAAAAAATAAATTGAACACCAAGTCAGAGTTGGTCGTATATTCAATCCAAATCATACTCTACATATATTTTGTCCAAAAAGATTTTACTCTGTTTACATATAATATTCATGTGTGTTAAACAACGGAAACATTCTATGTTAAACTCCTTTATAGGAGATTTTATGAAATATTTAAAATTACATATAAATATAGCATATTAATTATCAACATTGTTTTTGGCAACCAGGTTCTGCGCAAGAATCAAAGTACATGTTCTCTGAAATAAGAATATGAGATTAACTGACAATAATAAGGCAAAACAAACAACCTTACTTGACATACCTTAAACAATTTTATCATTTCGTAGTGCCATTGGCGTAGACGCTAATAAATAACCATTAAAACAATCCCACCGTCTAGGCGCATTTTTCAACTTACCAAGGGAGCAGTCATTTACTTCATTTTCACAGTTAATTCCCTCGTAGCCTGGAAGAAGAGATAAAATGTAATGTAATTGTTATAATGGTTTCTCCTGGTAGTAGTGGTGTTGGTAGTTTACCCTGGGGATCAGGGCACTAAGCCACTTTGAATTTACCAGAGCGCAGTTCATCTACAACATCATTCCTGGGCATGCTGGCAACCAGTTTACCAGTACTAGTTGCCTCCACTTTCTAAAGGAACTGGTAACTTCTGTACCTGCCAGAGCAAAGGTACAATACAATTAAAATGATTCAATCACAACGAAAGTGACCTGCAGCATCTGGGAATCAAATCAAAGTTGCCTGATTTACAATCTGACAGTCTAACTATTAAGCTAAACTTATGGTTATGGTTTCCTCTTATTAACTTTGTAATAAATATACATAACAATTTTAAGACTTTTCTTTTCATTCTCTCCAAAACTTTTTTCCTGACAACAAAAATTCTTCAAAAGCATATGATTCACTTTAGAAATCCCTTTATAAATTAGCATTTTCATTTGTAACAGACAATTATACTTTTAAAATTTTTCCAATAAACAGCAGTATTTACAACAGATTTTAAAATTGTCATCTAAGTTAGATCCCTTCTTTAAAAACTTTGGGGGGGGGGGGGATGTCAGTTATTTTAAATAGAGGTGCTGGGCACATTTGAAAATGAAGTTTAAGAAAAGTTCACAATATTAATATTTTCAATATTGTGAATCTTACTTGTTGTAAATCTATTTGTCGTGTTTGTAGAGCAAATCTTAATTCTAAAATTATTTTTAGTTTGCATATCACAAAAATAATGAACTTCACTAACTTCCTGGGTTTAAAATTTCAGACGAAACCTTATCTGCCTCAGTTTGAATTACACATATTTTCTGATCAAGGGAAATAATTCTACCCAGACTGATTTTTTTTCCTTCAGAGGAACACATAATGTAGTGGATCATTTAAGAAAACATCGTATGACTCACCGTCTTTACATGTACATGTGTACCCTGTATTCGTCACAGAACACATGGCATCATTCTTACATGGGTTTGTCATTCCACAGTAATCAACGAGGGTTTGGCAACCGTCTCCAGTGTATTCTGAAAAAATGAAGAATAATTAAATTTTTAAAGGCCCATTATTCATCAGAAAATTATTGACATTTCTCAAAAGATTTTGATATATTTTCAAAAAAAGGTTATTCATTGGCCAACTATTTACCTATACCACCTTCCTGCTTCTATTGCTTTCCAGCAATTTATACCATTATAGTGATTTACTATTTTGTATGGAAGTCAAAATACTACTTTGTTTACATTTTGCTAATTTTATTACCAATCATTTCACATTCAATGCTACTATCTTCCAAGTGATAAGCATCATGATTTTTAACTTATAAACCTCATGTTTACCCTTTCTAAAGAAAGAAAAATTTATTTGTTTCTGAGGCAAAATATACCTAAAATTTAAATCAGCATGCCTCCAAATTCATGCTAATGTTCTTGAAATTTTTGAAAATGACTTTTTCAAAGTAAAATATTATTAAGTGAACAAAGAAAGTAATTTACACATTGCAAACGGCACTTACAATCCACATAAATTACGAAAAAGAGGTCAAAATATACAGAAATACCTCTTTCTGTGTTAGTAACACAGTAAAATTATAGTGATTGATACCTCGAAATCAGGAATTAATCACACCTAACATGTAAATGATTAACTAAATATTTAATCTGTTTACTTTTCTTACGATCTTAATACATTTTTCTAAAGATTGAATTTCTTAAAATATTTTGGCTCATCTGGAGGCAGCTTTAAAAATCATATTATATAACAATGGTCAAAATAAAAAGTAGTCCAAAGAAGCAAGAAACAGTTGATTTTTTCTCCTTGACCAATTAGTATTTCTAATTTACAATGACATTTACTTAGAAACTAGAGAAACTTGCCTCTACATTATAATCCTAATTTTAATGGCTGCTATAAACTATCTTATGTTGAATTTATATCTCAAGTATTAAAGACCCATTATGCCTTAGAAATGCTATCATTTTTATTTCTCACAAAAAAATTCTAAATCTTTGGTATCTTATCACTGTTACCAAAAATTACTCACTTGCCATTTATAAAAATTATGGTTTTTCTTGATATAAAATTATAAAATATTTCAAATGTCAATTGCAAAACATATTTTATTTAAACAAAAGTTGCTGTATTTAATTGTATGCCTGAATACTCAAAAAGCATACTGACATATTGTACATATTTGCTTACAAAAACTGAACTTAAACATTGACTAAAATTAAGCAATAACAAATGGTCCATTGTATAAAACAAAACTTACTAGTTGGGCATCTACACATCATAGAGGTATCATAAGAGCACTGGCCACCATTTTGACACTTGTTGTAGTCCCGGCATGGACTTCGAACATTTTCACAATTTGACCCAAATCTGTTGGCATCACATCTGGTTAACAGCAAAAATAGTGAGTAATTGACCATTTGATTTTGGAAATAATAATCTCTTACCCAGGCCTTCAAAAGTGTGTAATTGTTTTTTTTTGTCCTCCTTTTCTGTAAATGGACCCATTCCCAAAGGCTAGAAGTTGTGCGATTTTCAAAGTAGTGTCAAAATTCACAATTCTGCTACCCCTGTCTACCAATCAGAATCCCATGAGTGAACGAACGCAGTCACGTGACCAATCACCAGCAGAACAACGCTATCTTGGAACTGACCACTTGTGGATTTTACGAGGAATATAAAAATAATAGTTTATCTAGTTAAGGAGTGTTATCTGAAATTTGATTACCTTTTTGTACCAAAAGTGAATTTATCTATCGTGTCTCATTATTAAACATATAAAATAGTGAATTACTCCGATTTCACTGGATTTTTTTGTAATCAGAACTGTGTGAACTTGTTCAATTATGGCCGAAGGGTCAGATAAGCAGAGTGTGTTAAACTTTTCTGCAAATGGGTTTCTTCAGGATAATCAGCCCTTAGAGGCACCTGGAGTCCCAGGAATCACTGTGACAGCCGGACAAAATGAATCGCGATTAAATGTGTTCAGATATATTGCGGGATTAAAAGAAAAGGAGCAAGACAATGGGGTCAGTGTCTGTGACGCAGCACCCACGTTAGTTTCTCCATCCGGCGGAAGTGCAGGACAAGGATCAATATCCGGAGGAAGCACGTGGATAAGACATCCTCTGATGGACCCGAGAATCTCGTTTGGGGCGGGATTAAATATGGCCGCCCCTAATAGTATTGATCCAATGATGTTCGCATTTCAGGAACAATTACGACAAACGCAAAGCATGTGCCTCCAGCAACAAAATTCTCTGGAAAAATTAACAGCGGCAATAACAAGCCTTACAAACCAACAAAAGAATAACAACAAATCTGAATATGACGAAATTTCTTCTGAGTCGGGAAGTGACAGTGACGTCACTTCCAGAAGTGAACCAATGAAGAAAAAGTTTAAACAGGCTTCACATTCAGACAGGAAATTGGCAAAACTGAAGGCAGTGGAGTCATCGTTTGTCAAACAAGAACAATGTGGACCAAGCGCACACGATGTGATAGCCTAGACGGTAAAAAATGGTCTGTCGTCCACAGTTGAACATAAAGCACCCGAAGTCCAAGAACTTTTGGATAAACACAAAAGACCAGAAAATTGTGAATACCTTCAGGTCCCTAAAGTAAATAAAATAATCTGGTCCAATAAACAGGGGGAAAGAAAAATTCCAATCCCCGACGCATCTTTTCGGAACTGACAACGATTTGGAAAAGAAGCTGAAAGAAATCGATGAAAACAGGAAACTGTGTAATAATCTTGGTGTTACGGATAACAGACACCAAGGCCCAGGGCTTTCCAGGTGGGCTTCAATAGAACATACCCACATTACAAAGTTCCTGAATGTGCCAACACAGCCTTTTTTAGGGAAAAGGCCCCCGTCACAGTCAAATTGGCACCACCGCAAGGGAATACAAAAGCGGACGGATCAGGGCCACAAGAGAAAATAGAAATAGTAAGTACAATATCGTGTTATAAAATAAACAACACACCTGGAATTTTATTGCCGGTAAGGTCAGACTGTTTCAAAATGAATGGGCAAAACTGACCACCGATAAATTTATCTTAGATATAATAAACAACGGTTATCAGATAGAGTTCTCATCAATGCCGTGTAATCAGTGTAACAGACCAGAGATAACATTCTCGGGAAAGGAAGCTGATACTATTGATTCATTAATTGAGCAGTTACTAATTAAGCAAGTTATTGAAGATTCATTAATTGAGCAGTTACTAAATTAAGCAAGTTATTGAAAAGGCAGAACTGTTGCCCAGTCAAGTGTTATCAAATATTTTCATCAGAACTAAACAAGATGGCAGCCATAGATTAATTCTTAATCTAAAAAACCTAAATGAACATGTAAAAAAGAAACATTTTAAAATGGAAACATTAAAATCAGCTCTTCATTTAGTTAAAAAAGATTGTTATTTCGCAAAATTAGATTTCAAAGACGCATATTATAGCATTCCGGTACACAAAGATTATAGGCGCTATCTTTGTTTTACCTGGAGGGGGCATGCTTATCAGTACACATGTTTACCTAATGGACTATCAAGTGCTCCACGCATATTTACTAAAGTGATGAAGCCTGTTTTTTCTTCGCTTCGAAAAGAGGGGCAGACAAACAGTGCATATATTGACGATGTTTTATTACAGAATGACTCGTTTAGTGAATGCACGGACTCCGTGTTAAAAACAGCTTCTTTAATAGATAACTTAGGTCTTACGGCTCATCCAGTAAAATCTATTTTTGTTCCTACACAAACAATTGAATTCGTCGGTTTTCTTATTAATTCAAAAAATATGACAGTTAAATTAATGGCATCTAAGACAGAAAATCTAGTGCAAAAATGTAGTCATCTGCTTTCAAGATCAGTGGTAACTATTCGCGAATTCGCACAAATTATCGGAAAAATGATAGCTTGCGAACCAGGTGTACCTTTCGCTCCGCTCTATTATAAACTGCTTGAAATTTATAAAGACGCCGAATTAAAAAGAACACGTGGACAGTTTGACCAGAATATGATCATTTCAAATGAATGTAAAGATTGTTTACCATGGTGGGTCAATAACCTGGGAAATCTGGTGTCAGTTTAGACCTATAGTTCGCGCTAAACCGGATAAGATCATTGAATCAGACAGTAGTTTAGTAGGCTATGGCGCATATGATTCGACGTCCGGTTCTGAATACAGCAGGATATGGGACAAAAATGACAAAATACAACACATTAATTATCTGGAACTTAAAGCCGCGTTCTTAGCTTTGAAAAGATTTGCCTGGGAAAATGAACATGTACAATTAATGTTAGATAACACAACAGCAATAGCATATTTGACGAAAATGGGGGACAGAAAAATGTTATTGAATTCACTGACAAAAGAAATATGGGAATGGTGTACATGTATATCTAAAAATATTTGGATAAGTGCGTATCACATTCCCTGAAAATTAAATGCTAGAGCTGACGCTCTAAGCCGACAGAAATTAACTGTTGATATGGAATGGAGTTTAGACATTGAAGTATTTAACAAAATTATAAAAATATATGGTTGCTTTGATATAGATATGTTCGCTTCAAAATGGAATAACAAACTGAACACATACGCGTCATTTGGACCAGATCCCAATGCGTTTGGGACTGATGCGTTTTCATTAACGTGGACAAATTTATTTTCATATATTTTCCCACCTTTCAGTGTCCTTGGCAGAGTGTTGCAGAAGATGGAACAAGATCAATGCAAGGGAGTGCTGGTGGCACCGATTTTTACAACACAGCCATGGTTTCCGAAACTTTTACATATGATTGTAGAACCTTCATACATACTTCCGGATGTGAACAAAATACTGTCACACCCCACAAAAAACCAGCCACACAGGTTAACCAAAATGATACAAGGGGTATTCAAAATATCCGGGAAGCCCTACAAGCCCAAGGAATATCAGGCGAAACTGCCGACATTACCGTCGCTTCATGGCGTTCAGGAACAAAAAAACAATACAGGACATATTTACAAAAATGGTTCATGTTTTGTAGTGAACGGAAAATTAATTCGTTTAAACCGCCTGTAAATGAGCTGCTAAAATTTTTAACGCAACTGTTTTCTAATAAATTAGGTTATAGTGCTATAAATACAGCTAAGTCAGCGGTTTCTAGTGCTGTGTATATAGTTTCAAACGTACAATTGGGAAACCAAATATTGATAAAGCAGTTTATGAAAGGAATATCTAATAAAAGGCCATCGCTACCTAGATACAATTGTATATGGGATGTTAAAGCTGTTCTGAGATATCTTCGGTCATTGTTTCCGTTAGAGGGTTTATCACTTAGATTATTAAGTTATAAAGTGTTAATGTTATTAGCATTGTGTACTGGTCAAAGAATGCAAACTCTGTATCACATTAGATAATATTGAAATTTCATCTACAGCAATCAAAATTCGTATTCAGGATTTACTTAAACAAACGCGCCATGGAAACCATCTAAGTGAATTGTACATAGAAAACTATATCAGTGATTCTTTGTGTGTTGTTTTACTTTGAAATACTATTTAGACTTTACATCAAAGTTACATGCGTTCACCGGAAATAAATTATTTATTTCCGTGCAGAAATCTCACGTGGTAGTAACAAAACCAACATTATCAAAATGGATAAAGAAAACTTTAATATTAGCCGGTATAGACACTAATATTTTTAGTGCACACAGTACAAGGAAAGCGTCAACAAGTGCTGTGTTTGGTAAAATTCCAATCCAAACAATTTTGAGAACAGCTGGTTGGTCAAGAGACTGTACTTTTAGAAAATTTTATAAAAGACCAGTATCATTAGATTCGGAATTCAGTAAAAATCTTTTAGATATTGTAAATACTTAAAATGTGTATATTTCATATTGTTAGATTAGTCAAATAAAATCTCTGTTATGACTATTGAAATTGATTTATTCTACACATTCTGACATTTAAACAAATACACGAACCACGATATCTAAAAACTCATGGGATTCTGATTGGTAGACAGGGGTAGCAGAATTGACAAATCAAACGAAACTTACCGAAGTTGAAGTTTGATGTTAATTCTGCTATGCCCTGTCTACCAGAATCACATGCCCACCCGTGAATAATCTCTCGTGGTTCGAAATTTGTACATATAATACCTCTAAAACCTGCTAGTGATTGGTCACGTGACTGCGTTCGTTCACTCATGTGATTCTGTTAGACAGGGCGTAGCAGAATTAACATCAAACTTCAACTTTGGTCAGTTTCGTTTAATTTGTCAATTTGGCTTCTTTCCAAATTTATTAATTTCTAGATTAATGTTCATCATTTACATCCAGAATTACATATAAAGACCAAAAAATATTAACAAAAATATAGAGATGATAAAGAAATAGTGGAGATTAAATATGAAATCAATCATGACAATTTAAAATTTTAACTTACTTGCAGCTATAGTCATTAAAGATGTTATAACAGGTTCCCTGACAACTTCCTCCCGTCACTTGGTCATTGCACTTTTGCACTGCGGTCTCACAGTTTATTCCTTGCCAACCATTAATGCAAGCACATGTGTAACCTCCAATTCTACCATTACAGGTACCACCATGTTGACATGGATCACTTTCGCAATAATCTATTTCAATCTGAAACAGAAAAAAACAGCAATAAAAATTCCACATTTTATAAGTATGAGGATACTTAAGATACTCAAGATTTTGGTACTTCACTGACTTCAGTGACTTATTTTGTGTTCTAAATCTATATCTTATTTCTCTATCTTGTATATCACACTTTTAAATCTTATTGTTTATATCTGTATCTCGCTTCTAAATCTTATATTTTATTGTTTATATCTATATCCCACTTCTAAACCTTATATCTTATTGTTTATATCGATAATCTATATCCTACTTCTAAATATTTATCTTATAGTTTATATCTATATCCAACTTCTAAATCTATATATTATTAATATCTAATTGTTTATATCTATATCAAACTTCTTAACCTTATATCTAATTGTTTGTATCTATATCCCACTTCTAAACCTTATATCTTATTGTTTATATCAATATTCTTGCATATCAGACAGGATTATCTACTGTTTACTCCGGTGCTAGATAAGGCTCCCACGTTTACAATTTTTTGTAAACGTTTACACGACTGCTAAGAACCGAAACGATACCGTTTAAACGGTGGTACCTCTATGTACTATACACACCATGTATTTGAGTCGCCAAATGATGTCTTTCTTTCTATTTTTAATACATGTAGCAAATAAAGAATGTGCAAGGCTCATCACGATTGAGTCAGCACCACATTTTTTTGCATTTGTAGCCCCCATTTTTTTACCAAAAATGTATCATGTCACGAGCAATTTTGCACGGTAATGTGTGTGGAGGGTTGTAAACACACATTTTCCGTTTGTTTACTTTGGAATAAACCACTAAAATTGATAAAATCCATGATTACAGGCAATGATTAAGAAATTTTGTAAGACAATATGGCCATTTCGATTAAACGGTAAACAATATTGTAAACGTTTATGAATGAAAATCGAAACGAATCCGTTTAAACGTGTAATCGTGGGGGCCTTAGTGCTAGAAAACCCTTGTCTTACACCTTATTGTTTATATCTATATCCTACTTCTAAATCTTATCTGATTGTTTATATCTGTATCCTTACTTTTAAATCTTATTTCTTATTGTTTATATTCATATCCCACTTCTAAATCTATATCATATTTCTGCATCTTGTATATCACACTAAAAAACTTATTGTTTATATCGTTATCTTATTGTTTATATCTGTATCCCCCTTCTAAATCACATCTTATTTCTGTATCTTGTAAATCTCACCTCTACATGTTATATCTTATTGTTTATATCCACTTCTAAATCTATATCTTATTATTTATATTTATATGTCACTTCTTGACACAGATATTAACAGATATTAACAGATAAGTCTTCACTTTAGACATTTACCTCACAATCTGTACCCTCATATCCAAGGTTACATGTACATCTGTAGCCAGATCCGGGGACATTGGTACAAGATCCATGCTGGCTGCAACTGTTAACATTACAGAAAGCTTTCGGACTGGCACAGTTTGTTCCTGAAAACATTAATGACATTATCAATTTAATGTGTCCCTTTATTCCATTGATAATTTGATACTGAGGCTCTGACTTGCCTTCTTGCAATTTGAGGGTCTCAACAGTTTTCTGATATTTTACATTTATACTGAGAATAGCATTATAACATTGCTTGCAGAATGGCAGTGTAATTGTTGATAAAACCATCAGTGCACTTTAATGAAAATTTCATATCATGACTTTCCAATACAAATGTGACCTTTGAGCTAGAGATCTAATTCTTGTGCACAACACAAGGTCATCATGTCCAATACATTCATATAGAGTTATTTTAAAATTCATCTAAGGAACACTCAACACATACATCAGTGTACTTTTATGAAAGTGTGACCTTCACCTTTGAGCTACAGATCTAGTTGAACTTTTGATGTGACACAATGTCCAAATGTGCTTTACATTTATGCAAAAATATCCAAAATTCATTATTAAATGAAAGATTTAGACTAGACAGCAAGTGTGGACAGACCAAAGGAAGGAAGCTTTAAAACAAGAGCTGTCGGTAGGACAGCAACGCTCAACTATTCTTAGTGCTTGATAGTAAAAAAGCCTTGATAATGAAATTTTCTAAGTAAAGAAAAGGATAAAAAATTTCTTTAAATCTATATTACAGATATAGGCCTTGAAGAGAGTCCTATTATACTCTCAAAGAAGACTATAAAATTTCAACTTGTTTCAAAGCCATATGTCAATTGACTTTGAAAATATTTGAGGTATTACAAAATTTTTAACACAAATTCTTTGCAAAAAAAAGGAGCATAATTCTGTCAAAATGCTTGATACAGTTACCACCCCCTGTCTACAGGTTGGGGTCATAATGGTGAACAAGTGTGCAAAGTTTCAAAGCCATATGTCCATGGACTTTGGAAATATAAGAAGTATTACAAAAACTTTAACGTAAATTCTAAGTCGAAAAAGGGGCATAATTCTGTCAAAATGCTTGATACAGTTACCTCCTCCTGTCTACAGGTTGGAGTGATGGTGAACAAGTGTGCAAAGTTTCAAAACCATATGTCAATGGACTTTGAAAATATTTTATTTTAGGTATCACAAAAACTTTAACATAAAATGGTTACGCCGACGCGAACACCAACGCCGACGCCGACGCTCGGGTGACTACAATAGCTCTACTTATTCTTATCGAATAGTCAAGCTAAAAAACTATAGGCCTCCCCCATTTTTTGTTTCATTTTTTAATTTTTTTTTTTGGTAAGGGGGAATAAAAAAACCAATACAAACCATGCGATTGCCAATATATTATAACACATTTTATTCTTGAAAATGTCCAAATGTGCATTATTGCTACAACATATGGTTCTATATACATACATCCTAATAGATTTATTGTTAATAAAGATATATTTTATAATAATTGAACAACAACAAAACTTGGAAAAACAGGCCAAGATAGTTTTCCCTACCAAATTAACTTGTCACCAGAATATATTAATCCAAGACAATCAAGAGGTCAGATACTTTGTAAACATGAAATGTCATGATCAAATTAAACCTTACCTTCATAGAACTCGGTACATTGACACTCATAGCCAATAATTTGATCCACACATGTTCCACCATTTATGCATGGGTTAGTTGTGCATGAGTTAATATTGGTCTGACAATTTTTGCCGGTGTAACCGGTTGTACAACTGCATCGATACCCACCGAACACATCGGAACATGCCGCACCATTCTGGCACGGGCTAAGTGAAGCACAATAATCGGTTTTCTGTTTGCAAGTGAAAGATCTGAATACTGAAATATATTTCAAGGGTAAAAGGTCAAAATTTGAAAACAAACAGACAAAGGTCACCTCTGTTTAAATCATATCTAAGAAATAAAATTTATAAATGTAGGTTAATATCCATAGTATGCCTTAATCACAATGACTTTGAACATTGTTACTTATATTGCATGAAAAGAACACCGTTATATAGATGATGAAACAACCTGATATTGACTTAATAATAAACATACCCCTATGAGTATTGTAAAACATACAAGCCATAACTACAGATTGGAACTACTTGTTGCTAAAATCAGGTTTAATAACAAATTTTAACATTCAAAGAGAAGAAAGCATAAAATCATGACAGAATGTTGTCATTAACTCCATTATAAAAGCCTTAGCCACCAGTATATGTCAGCAAATCCATGAAGTCTAACTAGGTTCTATACTGCTGGTAGCTAGATTTTATTGAAATCCCTTAACCTTTAAATGAACTGGCCCAAATCCATTGTAGAAATTCTGGGAGTTAAGGATAAATTCTTAAGTTGGTATTTTGATGCTTAATGTACTCTTTAATAGTAAGTATCAGTAATTTATGTACCTCTGCTAACAGAACACTTAAACTGAATATCATAATCTTGATTTGCAAAAGGATATGAGAGTGTTCTTAGTTCCTGGTTACATGTAAGACCGCCTGGTAAATTTTTATTATCCAAGCATGTAGTTCCAACTCGGCAACATCTCGTATATAAAGGTTCAGTGCCTCCACAAATATCAAGTCCGTACTGAAACAAAGTATCGCAAATACTATAATTATGCTATATTCTAACAAACTTCACACTATTTTCCTATTAAACAAACAAGTCAGAAGTGTACATTACTACATGAAATATGCATGACATCATCAAAGAATGTTAATACATGTAATGTCACTTCTCTGCTTGATATAGTTCAACATAATTTTCTCTATTCTAAGCAGCATATTGAAATGGGAACATATCAAATTTTGCTATATTTTAATTCAATAATGTTTAGTTCATATAATTAATGACTAATTTTTTTTATTACACAGTAATCAGTCAGGCTCATCGACCAACATGATTATATTACTGCTCATTTTAAATAGAGAGAAATAGAATCCTTACAGAAAGCCCAAAACGGTAAAATTGAAAAAGTTGTAGGTTCAGTTTGACAAAAACTGTGTAACAGTGCCTATGATTGTCCTTCCTTTTCTGATTTTTTCTTCAATTTTTCATCAATGAAAGCATTTTAAATTGGAAATGTTTCGAGCAGTAACATAGGAAAATTAATCATACAGAAATTCCCTTTTTCACCAATGAATATCTATATAGAATTTGTTGGTTTTTTTTATTTAAAGCTATAATACATGCCTAAATAATTTCATGATTTCAAACACATATTTTGACATGATATTTTTTTGGATTTCACATACTTAATTTGTCATAATTCATAGTCAGACATACTGGTTTCCTTGATGATATGATTTGATGGTAAAATAACGACAACTTGATCAACTTGAATTAAACATATATCATAAATATAAGCTTTGGTCTACATGTACGTACATCTCTCAGAATTGCCAGGATATATTGAGGTAAAATAAATATTTTTATTAACTTCACCAACATTTTTTGCCATTTTTATAACGAGCTTTGGTCTACATGTACTTACACCTCTCAGAGTTGCCAGGATATATTGAGGTATATTAAGATATATTAGTTTATTAATTTGACAAAAAAAATTGCCGTTATATATTATAAGTTTTTTGGTCTTCATGTACTTACACCTCTCAGAGTTGCCAGAGATTCAGAATCAGCAGATGATGAAGGAGTAGGTGTTTTCAGGCTATATCTTGGTGTAAAGAAATCATCTGAAATAAAGAAACCAGCACAAAAATTTAACACCACATTTGGCACAAGTCTTATCTTTTGTCTGACTGTCTTTCAAATTTCAGTCATCTTTTTTCATAAATGTTGTTGAATATATATAGAGCTTTATTATTTCTGTCTTAACAGAGACATTTCTGTTCATATTGTATAAAAATGCAGTGATAATATTTCACTTTGAACTACCTGATTATTGATTATTGTCAGTTCATTGTCAAGGGTTGAAAGTAGGGGTATCACGTTTATCCGTTGAAACAGGTACAATCTGTTTTTAGCTAAAAACCAGTGAGAAAATTCAATAACCAGTAATTGAGGATTGTATCTGGCAAAGGGGCGAAAAAGGCTTTAAATTGATTCTAAATATTACCTTAGTTTTCTATAACAAGATATGAAAATAGTTTGTATTTTAGTTGTACTCAACAAAGTTTTTTTTCCCAGTCAGATGGTATACAGTATGACCCTAGCCAAAAATAGTTACTCCATATTCGGAAAATGTATTTTTATCATTTTGAGTACAATAAAATACAAACAAAATGTCATATCTTGTCATAAAGAAACAAAGTTTATGTTGAAAATCTAAAGATTTTATCAGTACGGCCGGTTAAACATTTAACACAGTTCTTACGTTGCCGTTTAAATGATTAACATTTTTTATAACCGTGACACCCCTAGTTGTATGGTATATCTCTTAAGGTAGCAGGACCTCAGTGGGTTGTACTATTTCTAATATAGTACCTACAACTAACTTTTTATTTAATAGTCATACTGACATTTTGAGGGACATATGGTTATTTTTTAGCTTTACTGGTTGAAGAAGACTTCAGATGTCCCTTCGTGCATAATTTCAGACACTATAGCGGGGGAACCTGAGAAACGCTTAATTTTCATCATGAATCATGACATTAACCGTTCAGTACAAAGGCCAGTTGATGCAACATTTCTTTTGAAGGGTTAACATCAGGAACATGGTTGCCATAGCATTTCTTTTTATAGCATGTGAAATTATCCTTTAAATTGCACAAAATAAGAGGTTCGTAAACTGAAAATGTATCATACCAAGAATACTTGTTAACATTGAATAATGGTTCTTATTTTGATGTCACTTAAATTTTATTTTGACCATGAAATTGTTTCCTTTACTATTACAGACTTTATACAAAAATAGACCTAAACTACTGTACTAGCTACTTTCTGTATTATGTCAAACATTGTCATATTCAAACATTAAGCTAACATGTGAATACACACAGTGTTAGTGAAGCCTTACCAGTTGGGTTGATGACATATTTTGTGTACAGATGCACATTTGAATTGGTGCCAAATGTCAGGGATACGTCAGAGCTCCAAATGTAACATTTGTTGGTATTCCAATCAAATGCAAACAGGTTGCAGCGAGTTGTAATGCTAGTGCATCTTATCCTACATTCTGCTGCAGTGTCCACATCATTTACAGCAGTGAAGTCCTGAATATTTGTGGGTGCTCTGTTTAGCTGTATCTGGTACTGAGCATAACTTCCCTCAGCATCTGAAATTCAAACAAACATAAAAATGAATATAAAAACATTGATATATCGAAGGTTTATCTAACTAGAACTCCGCGAGTCGGATGTGTCACCTTGTGAACAATGTAGTTTAGGAGAAATGGCCAGGACAAAAATGAAATATGAAAAATAACAAAGGGCAATAACTAAAAAAATAATAAGTGCAGAGCAGCAGTTTTCTGTGCACTGCACTTCTTATCAAATAAGATCTATCATTCTATGATGTTTCAAGTCCATAGCTTTCATACTTGAGGAGAAAATGACCAGGACAAAAATAAGTAAGAAAATCAACAAAGGGCAATAACTCAAAAAATAAGAAATGCAGAGTATTAGTTCTTATGCACTGCACTTTTTCTTAATGAGATCTATCATCCTATGAAGTTTCAAGTCCATAACTTTTATACTTTCGGAGAAATGGCCTGGATAAAAATTAAGTATGAACATTAACAAAGGGCCATAACTCAAAAATTAAGAAATGCAGAGTACCGATTCTTGTGCACTGCACTTTTTCTTAATGAGATCTATCATCCTATGAAGTTTCAAGTCCATAGTTTTTATACTTAATGAGAAATGGCCCGGACAAAATTAAAGTATGAAAATTAACAAAGGGCAATAACTCATAAATTAGGAAGTGCAGAGTACCGGTTCTTGTGCACTGCACTTCTTCTTAATGAGATCTATCATCCTATGAAGTTTCAAGTTCATAGCTTTTTTAGTTGAAGAGAAATGGCCCGGACAAAATTAAAGTATGAAAATTAACAAAGGGCAATAACTCAAAAATTAAGAACTGCAGAGTACCGGTCCTTGTGCACTGCACTTCGGGTTATTGAAAGAAGCATGCATACCAAGTTTGAAGTCAATCAGACTTATAGTGACTGAGTTATGCTCCGGACAAGCTTTAGGGGACGCCGACAACGACGCCGACGACGACACAGACGCCGCCGACAAAAGTAACCCCTATATGTCACCTTTTGAAGGCGACACAAAAACTGTTGTAAGTCCATATTTTACTTGAGTTTTGCAGTCAACCATCAATATTCAATGACTAGTAATTATAATCTATTTTATGGGTTTAGCTTTTCAGCGGATTGTGAAATTTTTTGTCGTTTCCAAACCCCAAAACCCCATTTAAGATATTTGGTGGAAAAAAATTCAGATGCCCCCCCATCCCGCCCTAATGTTTTATCATAAATACAATGTATGCACCTTTGGAGAAACCATGGCCTTCTGGGCATCCCCCCCATGACATTTAAATTTTAATTTCCCTGGAAAAATTTTCACTAAAAAGCCCTGAAAAAAAAGGTTTAAAATAAAGCCCCCCCAAAAATTAAAAACCCTTTGGCCTGCAAATAAAGTATCTTCCAAATTTTTAACACCCTATCAAAATAGCTATGGGTTTTGGAGTAAAGACCTATTTGGGCTAGGGGGTTCCCAACCCTTTGAAAAATCATTTTGGGTTTTGCTGTAACATCTTTCTTGGGCTGCGCATCACTTATGGGTGTTACTTTTACCCTTTTTTTTTTTTAAATTTTTACTAAAGAACTTTGCCTTTTTTACTTTAAAAACCCTTTTTTAAAAAACCGTTATTTTTGGAAGGGGGTTTTACCCCATTTTTTCAACCAGTTTTTTCTTTAAAAGGGGAAAAATTTCCCCATTTTACAAACCAGTTAAAAATTTTAACGGGGGAAAAATTTCCCCAATTTTAAACCAATTTTTCTTTTAAAGGGGGGGTTTGTCATTTAAAAATCCCGTTATTTCCAGGAAAAGGGGAAAATTTTCCTCTTTCATGATTTCCATCATTTGACAACCCATTTTTGTCCGGGGGGTGGTTTAAATTTTCCCCTTTGCAAAAGTTTATTTCTGGAAGGGGGATATTTTCATTTGACAAAAAGTTATTTTTTTAAGGGGGGTATTTTCCCCTTTGACAAAAAGTTTTTTCTGGGAAAAGGAAATTTTTCTCGTTTTACAACCAAACCCTTTTTTGGGAAAGGGGTAAAATTTTTCCCCCACTTGACAAACCAAAATTTTTTCCCAAAAGGGAATATTTCCTAATTCAACAACCAGTAATTTCTGGAATGGATATTTCCTAATATGACAACCAGTTATTTCTGAAAGGGGATATTTCCTCATTTGGCAACCAGTTATTTCTGGAATGGATATTTCCTCATTTGACAACCAGTTATTTCTAAAAGGGGATATTTCCTCATTTGGCAGCCAGTTATTTCTGGGAGTGGATATTTCCTCATTTGACAACCAGATATTTCTGAAAGGGGATATTTCCTCAATTGGCAACCAGTTATTTCTGAAAGGTGATATTTCCTAATTTGACATCGAGTCATTTCTGGAAGGGCATATTTCCTCATTTGACAACAAGTTATTTCTTGAAGGGGATATTTCTTCATTTGATAACCAGTTATTTCTGGAAGGGCATATATTCTCATTTGACAACCATTTATTTCTTGAAGGGGATGTTTCCTCATTTGACAACCATTTATTTTTAGAAGTTGACATTTCCACATTTGACAACCAGTACTTCCTGGAGGGTATATTTCCTCACTTGACAACCAGTTATTTCTGGAAGGGGATATTTCCTCTTTTGACAACCAGTTATTTCCTGAAGGGGATATTTCCTCATTTGACAACCAGTTATTTCTGGAAGGAGATATTTTCTCATTTGATAACTAGTCATTTCTGGAAGGGGATATATCCTCATTTGACAACCAGTTATTTCTGGAATGAGGTTTTTTCTCATTTGACAACCTGTTACTTCTGGAAGGGGATATATCCTCATTTGACAACCAGTTTTTTCTGGAAGGAAATATTTTATCATTTGACATCCATTTATTTCTGGAAGGGGATATATGCTGATTTGACAACCAGTTATTTCTGGAAAGAGATATTTTCTCATTTGACAACCAGTTATTTCTTGAAAGGGATGTTTCCTCATTTGACAACCAGTTATTTCTAGAAGTGGATATTTCCTCATTTGACAACCAGTTATTTCCTAAAGGGAATATTTTCTCATTTGACAACCAGTTATTTCTGGAAGGGGATATTTCCTCATTTGACAACAAGTTATTTCCTGAAGGGAATAGTTCCTCATTCGATAACCAGTTATTTCTGGAAGGACATATTTTCTCATTTGACAACCAGTTTTTTCTGAAAGAGAATATTTCCTCATTTGACAACCAGATATTTCTATAAGGGGACATTTCCACATTTGAAAACCAGTTATTTCTGGAAGCAGATATTTTCCCATTTGGCAACCAGTTATATCTTGAAGGGGATTTTTCCTCATTTGACAACAAGTTTTTTCTGGAAAGGGATATTTCATCATTTGACAACCAGTTATTTCTGGAAGGGAATATTTCCTCATTTGGCAACAAGTTATTTCTGGAATGGATATTTCCTCATTTAACCACCAGTTATTTCTAAAAAAGGGATATTTCTTCATTTGGCAACCAGATATTTCTGGAAGGGGATATTTCCTCATTTGACAACCAGTTATTTCTGGAAGGGGATATTTCCTCATTTGACATGGAGTCATTTCTGAAAGGGCATATTTCCTCGTTTGGCAACAAGTTATTTCTAGAAGGGGATATTTCTTCATTTGACAACCAGTTATTTCTGAAAGGGCATAATTATATTCTCATTTGACAACCATTTATTTCTTGAAGGGGATGTTTCCTCATTTGACAACCACTGCCAGACACTGTTATTTCTGGATGGGGATATTTCCTCATTTGACAACCAGTTATTTCTGAAAGGAGATTTTTTCTCATTTGATAACGAGTTATTTCTAATAGGGTTTATATCCCCATTTGACAACCAGATATTTCTGAAAGGAGATATTTTCACATTTGATAACGAGTTATTTCTGAAAGGGGATATTTCCTCATTTGACAACCAGTTATTTCTGGAAGGAGATATTTTCTCATTTGACAACCTGTTATTTCTTGAAGGGAATATATCCTCATTTCACAACCAGTTTTTCTGGAAGGAGATATTTTATCATTTGACATCCAGTTATTTCTGGAAGGGGATATATGCTGATTTGACAACCAGTTATTTCTAAAAAGAGATAGTTTCTCATTTGACAACCAGTTATTTTTTGAAAGTGATGTTTCTTCATTTGACAACCAGTTATTTCTAAAAGTGGACATTTCTACATTTGAGAACCAGTATTTTCGGGAGTGGATATTTCCTCATTTGACAACAAGTTATTTCTGGAAGGGAATATTTCCTCATTTGACAACCAGTTATTCTCTGAAGGGAATATTTCCTCATTTGACAACCAGTTATTTCTGGAAGGAGATATTTTCTCATTTGACAACCAGTTTTTTTCTGGAAGGGAACATTTCCTCATTTGGCAACCAGTTATTTCTATTAGGGGACATTTCCACATTTGAAAACCAGTTATTTCTAAAAGCAGATATTTTCTCATTTGGCAACCAGTTATGTCTGGAAGGGGATATTTCCTCATTTGACAACAAGTTATTTCTGGAAGGGGATATTTCCTCATTTGACAACCAGTTAATTCTGGAAGGGGATATTTCCTCATTTGACAACCAGTTTTTTCTGGAAGGGGATATTTCCTCATTTGACAACCAGTTATTTCTATAAGGTTATATGTTTCCTCATTTGACAACAAGTTATTTCTTGAAGCAGACATTTCCTAATTCGACAACCAGTTTTTTCCAGAAGGGGATATTTGCCCATTTGACACCCAGTTATTTATGGAAGGGGATATTTCCTCATTTGACAACCAGTTATTTCTAAAAGGGGATATTTCCTTTTTTGACAACCATTTATTTCCATAAGAGGTTGAGAAAGTCATTTTTGAGTGTTTTTTCTATAATAGATTTAACAACTATTCTTGAAAAAGGAACACTGCATGCGGTGTTAATTCTTGTCTTTTACAGTCAACAATTATCAATAATCAATTTTTACAAAACGTAAAAGTTAAAAAGGGACATAACTCCAAACATACATCTTTCAGAATAATGACCCTTATCTAACAATGCCACCTGGTCATGATAAGCATGTATTCCAAGTTTCATGTTGATAACTTTTAAGTTTGAATAATGGGCTACATTAAAGATTTTGGAAAACAATTACAAGTCAATTCATTCTTTGAAACAGACTAAGCTAAAAGTGAATTTTCTAGACAGTACCAGCTTCAGGTACAAGTATATTTTCTATAAAAAAAGACAACAAATCATTGACATATTTCAGAAGTAGAAAAAGGTGAACTGATAAAGAATAAAGGGAACACTTAATTGCTGAATTTCATCAGCAAAACTTACCATAGGTATATTCTGAATTACAAATGCACATATGTTTATTTGCTTGATAATCATCAACGCAAGATGCCCCATTGTCTGACCTCCGACAATTGTTAGATGTACAGGTATCCTGACGCACTTCACAGAAAACTCCGCTGTAGCCAGATGGACAATTACACGAGAAAGAATTCAACTGATTTCTACACACACCTCCATTGATGCATGGATTTGAGGCACATTCATCTGAAATTCAAAAAAAAAATATTCATAGATTTATTCAGAATTTCTAAACTTTCAGAATTTATAGTGGCAATGATAGGCTCTTTATATAATATTCTTATATAAAAGAACTTCTATGTGCCAAAGATTATTAAGTCAACCTTCTCGATGTATCTATTCTTAGTATAATGAAAAGTCAGAATTTTTCCAAAATATTCTTTATAAACCTATATGAGTTAAGGACGTTTTTGGGAGTTTTCATATACATGTAGACATATAGGCAAAATTAAAATTTTCTACTTATTTTAGGTTAATTTAAGGGCAGATTACTTAAACATATGTAAATGAATTCTTGTTTTTACCTCAGGATAATGTTTTTCTTTTTATTGTTGAATACAATACATTATTACATGCTATTCCTTATATCGTTTCTCAGTTCTATTAATTTTTTTCAATGAAAATAAAGGTACTTTAAATTCATAAAAATAGGCCAATTTTTAAGAAAATATTGCAAAGGTTAACCCTTTACCTCATATACTCAAAACAACGCACTTTCGACCCCCAACTCCCCATCTTTTAGGCCTTAAATAGTGAAAAACTGTCCTGTTTGAGGGTTTGAAGGGGGCAGCAGTCCCCCTCCGATTGCCAAGAAAATTTTGGACTTGTGAGAGGCTAAAAATGACCCCAGGTCAATGTAACCAACACTGAAAAGCCTTTGACTCTATCTGAATCCATTGAGAAGTTGCAGCACTTTTAAGTCAATTTTGATGGAAAAAATCAATGCAAAACAGTGATTTTTGGCAATTTTGAGATGTCCCCTCGTTGCCACAGTAACAGGAAATTTAAGACTGAGCATAGTGTTACAAAGGCAATGGTCCAGTCAACATTTGTGCTAAGTTTGATTGGTATTGAAGAAGTTTTTATAGTTTTATAGCAATGAACTTGTAACGGGAGACTTTTCCATGAAAACAGCAAGTTTTCACAAAATGCTCATGCAGTAATAGGTTAAGAGAAGAAGTGGGGAAAAAAACTATCCACTCTTAATTTGTACTTTAAATTTTGCATATTGACTAAAACGAAGGTAAGCTTTATGAAAATAAGAAGACAAAAAATATATTGCTTCCCTTCATTGTAAATTATCTGACCTTGAATTTAACGAAAAATTCCAATTCAAGGGCAGATAACTCGAAAATGAGAACGATAACCCCAAATATTTTCCTGTTTAAAATGTTTCTGTTCTCATATTCTATTGAACAGTTTTAACTTTGCCTATATGTCTATATGAAAACTCCAAAAAACGTCTTTACTCTTTTACCCCCATGAGCATATTGTAAAAAATTGCCGTTTTCATTTAAAAGCCTCCTGTTACAAGTTCCAACTGCTATAAAACTATGAAAAATGCTTCAATACTGATGAAACTTGGCACATATGTTGACTGAACCAATAACTTCTGTAACAACATACTCAATCTTAAAGTTCCTGTTACCATGGCAATGGGGGACGTCTCAAAATTGCCAAAATTCACTATTTTGCATTGGTTTTTTTTTCATCAAAACTAATTTCAAAGTGCTACAACTTCTCAATGCAATAAAAAAGAGTAAAAGGCTTTTCAGCGTTGATCCTTGCTTAAATGTCTCACCAAGCATTTACATTTTCAAATCTTTAAATTATTCATTTTGGGATATTTACATTTCAAAAACCTGGTAGTTTTTAGCTCGACTTTTCTATGAAAAGGGGAGCTATCCTACTCGCCCCGGCGTCGGCGTTGGCGTCACACCTTGGTTAAGTTTTTCGTACCACCCCACTTTATTTCAGAAGTATTACAAGTATGGCTTTGAAACTTACCATACTTGTTCACCATCATAACCTCCATCTACAGACAAGAGTACATAACTCTGTCAAGGTTTTTGACAGAATTATGGCCCTTTTTTGACTTAGCAAGTGTATTGAGCTTGGTTAAGTTTTTTGTACCACCTCACTTTATTTCAAAACCATTGGAGGTATTGCTTTGAAACTGACCATACTTGTTTACCATCACGACCTTCATCAACAGACAAGAGGACATAACTCTGTCAAGGTTTTTGAAAGAATTATGCCCCTTTTTGACTTAGAAAATACATTGAATATGGGTAAAATCCACTTATTGCCTTAACCCTTTGAGATATTGCTTTGAAACTTTTAATGCTATTTCACATCATTACCCCCATCTGTACGCAAGAGAAGGTAACTCTGTCAAGGATTTGTTTTAAAAATTAAGGCCTTTTATCGACTTAGAATCTTGGTTAAGTTTTTAGTACCAGTCCACTTTTTGACTGAACTGTTTGAGATATTAATTTGAAAGTTGGAATACTTGTTTACAATCATGATTCCCAAACATGTCCAGGAGAAGGTAATTCTGTCAAAGATTTTATTTGAATTATGGCCCTTAACTGTCAATGTTTTGTATTATAGGCAAGCACTAAAAAACTTAAAAAATCTAAAAAAATTCATTCCTATCCACTTGTTCACTTTACCATAAATTATGTCATAATAAAATAATTCTTCACTAAATATCTTAATGCTCATGGCCATTGTTCACTTTAAAAATACAGAGATTCTTGTATTGCCTTTTACTGCAAAAACTTTTTTTATTGGCAAGCAATAAAAAAGTCGAGCGCGCTGTCTTACGGACAGCTCTTGTTATTAACAGTTCTTTTGTAATTTGTACTTTTAAAAGCTATTTGAAAATATCATCAGCTATATCAGCTTGATTCCATAAAATCAACACTAGGAGTTTCAAAACTTACAGCCTTGATGTCTTAATACAGAAGTTTGACATCATTTCCATGTTAGGGAACATTTTATAAGGTAAGAAACTCCACATAGAACATCTGTAGAAATAAAAGAACTTTTTATCATGGATGATAACCTCCAAATAATCAAAACGGGAAAAAAAGTTTTCCTAACCAACATCTTCTTGGCATTTTTCGCCTGTATATCCGGATCGACAAACACATCTGTATCGTAAATTAGAATCTCGACTCACGTCTTCACAACGGAGTGTTCCAACAGCATTGCATGGTGATGGGTTACATATTTCGGCACTCCTCTCACAGCTTTAAAAATAAGTAACATGCAATCAATGTTAAAATACCCCTCTGATTTTTTCTATTATTATATAATCATGCAATTATACTGCACCAGTTTCAATATTCATACTGTACTATCATTGTTTCTTTACCTGTAACATTTGTTTGTACACTTTATTATCTTTTGTTTTACATCATCACCCTACTTGTGTCAACTGAAACTATCCATGCAACTAGTGCAAACCTAGACCAGTCTGCATATACAATATATGCTGTCTGATCATGGTCTGCAATATTTGTTACTGACACAGTCAAATTTCCCTTCAAATGATCAGTGCTATAGTCCAAATTGAAATATGGCCAAGTCCACTTTAGATATCTAGTATGGTAAGGTTAAATTTTTACTCATTAGTACAATTTTCAAGTTTTCATATAAGTTAACATGAATCTTGTGGTGTGCAGCTTTAATCATTCATCCTCAATGATTCATTATAACACAGTATCTCCTCTTACACAGCATTACCTCTAAACATGCTGTGTACCATTCAAAAAATATGAACATATCATGATTAAAACAATGTGCTATATCTATCTATGCAAATTTGAAGAATTTTCTTTTTTTAATAAATCATCGAAATAAAATTATAAGGAAAAAACACAAAACCTTGTTTTGGCTATTTACAAGTTTAGAGATATTTTAGAATGATATACTTTAAAGTCATGCAAAATTCATTCACGGGGAAAGCAGTATTTGCTTATACATGTTAAAAAGCCACAGACATTTCATGCATTTTAACAAATACACACAAAATTACATCAAAATGTTAATTACACCTGAAACAAAAGCTGGCATGACATGATATCTGTTTATATACTAATGAGATTTTCTGTACAAAGAAAGAAAAGGGTGCGGGATTAAATTTTCCTTATAATGTCAGTGGCGCAGCACTGTCTATTGGGTTGATTTTTACATCGATTTTAACATATGTTTTTGGTCGTATTGCAGCAGCCAGCATTTACTATGATATAGCCGTACTTTCAATGTAACGTAGAAAGTCAGAAGGACATTATTTTAAAACCAATCTGAGTGCTCCTAGAGCTATTTTCTATTAGATATACATGTGTTTAGGTTTGATATAAAAATCCCCTGTATTCAGCATTTTTGATTACAGTTTCATGTAGATGTATGTTTTATGACTGAAGAAACAAGTGCCAAGTTCAATTAAACACCAAATGCCCTGCAGAGTAACCTTGATCTTTGACCCAGTGACCTATGACATTTATCAAAGTTCATGCGCCTGTGAAGTCTGTAATTCAATAATAAGCTGAAAATTTCACCTAATGAATACCAAATTCTTTATCAAGTTCCAAACATGGAAAAGTACTAGAAGCATTGTCCCAGTTGGTCTACATGAGATTTGGAGCATGACCGAGGGTGGCGGATTATCCAAAGATGAGCAAGAGACATGTTTTATATCGGGACTGAGCAAGAGAGGTAACATCAGTATTTAGAATTCATGCATTATCACCTAAATATGTAAAGCCAATTTCTGCCATGCTCATTGCTAAATGATAACATGCCAATTACTGAATGATTATTGCAGCTTAAAGAGCAATGTAATTTGACAATTTTAAAGAGTTCCAAAACTACATTTTTTATAACAAGTTTCAAATGTAAAATTGCTAAATGCTTGGCATTTAGTAGTTTGCAATTAGCTTAATTAACCATTAAGGCAGAAAAATCGGCTTTCCATCTGTTTAGGGTACATTATGAGCAGCAGAAATCAACTTAGTAGAGGATAACATATAAAAATATATATTTTCTCAACTATATATTATGTACTCAATTATTGTAAGATATCAAGTGCTTGACTAAGTTATAAACTGCACCATCTGCAAAGACTGTGATAAATAGCTGACTATCAATGTTCATATAATTCTGATAAAAAATGACAGTTAAACCTTAACAGTAATATTACATTATGCTTTTTTACACTTTTGTATGATATTGTTTGTCTCTGCCACCAGTATTTTTAGCTAGATCAGACAAGACAGATGAGAATGCTGGCATGGCTATATATTGTTAACTGTTTAATTTTATTTTTAAAAAAATCTCTAGAAATAGCAAGTCGTATTCTCTCAAACATTGTTTGTCCTTTTGCACACAGAAGAAAACAAGAGGACCATGATGGCCCTGAAGTCGCTCACCTGTATATAGGCCCCCGGAGCGGGGCCAGTTTAAACCCCAGGGCTTTTATTTGAACAAACTTGGTAGACACCCATTAGAAGATATATCATGCTTAACATCTAAGGTCTACCTGGTCAAGTTTTTTTCTTTACACATATAGTTAAAAACAATGACACACCTGGGGCAGGGCTAGTTTTGACCCAAGGGCTTTTATTTGAACAATCTTAGTAGACACTTACTAGAAAATGTTTCATGCTTAATATCTAAACTCTAGCTATTCGGGTTTTTTCAAAGAAAACTTTTAAGTTTTTGCTATACACATATAAAGAAAATCAATGTCAGCCGGGACGGGGCCAATTTTGACCCCAGGGCTTTTATTTGAACAAACTTTGTAGACACACACTAAAAGATGCTTCGTGCTTAATATCTAAACTCTAGCTATTTGAGTTTTTCAAAGAAGACTTTTTAAAGTTTTTGTATAACACATTTTGGGAAAATGAATGACCTCCGGGGTGGGGCCAATTTTGACCCCAGGGCTTTTATTTGAACAAACTTGGTAGACACTTACTAGAAGATGTTTCATGCTTAGTATCTAAACTCTAGCTATTTGGTTTTTTTCAAAGAAGATTTTTTAAGTTTTTGCTATACACATATAAGGAAAATCAATGACCCCCGGGGCGGGGCCAATTTTGACCCCACGGCTCTTATTTGAACAAACTTGGTAAACATCCATTAGAACATGTTTCATGCTAAATATCTTAGCTCTAGCTCTTTGGGTTCTTTAAAAGAATTTTTTTTAAGTTTTTACTATATGCATATAGGGAAAAATCAATGACCCCCTGGGGCGGGGCCAATTTTGACCCCAGGGCTTTTATTTGAACAAACTTGGTAGACACTCACTAGAAGATGTTTCATGCTAAATATCTTAGCTCTAGCTCTTTGGGTTCTTTAAAAGAAGATTTTTTTAAGTTTTTACTTTATACACATAGGGAAAATCAATGACCCCCTGGGGCGGGGCCAATTTTGACCCCAGGGCTTTTATTTGAACAATCTTGGTAGACACGCACTAGAAGATGTTTCATGCCAAATATCTAAGCTCTAGCTCTTTGGGTTTTTTAGAAGAAGATGTTTAAAGTTTTTTCTTTTGGTTGCCTGTGTATTTATTATGGCAACCAGAGTTCTGCATGGAATGGAATTCTTTGAGTCAAAGCCTTTTCAGCATTGGTTATACGTTACATTATGATCGACCTGGGGTCATTTTTAGCCTCTCACAAGTCTAAAATTTTCTTGGCGATGAGGGGGTCTCCGCCCCCTTCAAACCCCCCTAACAGAATGGGGCACATCCCCCTTCTGGCAACCCCCTGATGTATCTTTTGGATGGGGGGGGGGCGGCGCCGAAAAAGTGCTCAATTTTTTAAGCAACATTTTTCAAACGAAAACATGTGTTTGGGGCCCAAATAGGACATTTTTTCACTCTTTCAGGACCAAAAAAAAAGGAGGGGGGGCGAAAGTGCCTTGTTTCGCGTATATATGAGGAAAAGGGTTAAGGCTTCACACAAGGAACATCCCTATGAAGTTTCATTATGATCTGCCTTATGGTTTCAGAGGAGATGTCGTTTGAAAAGTGTGAACGGACAACGGACGATGTACGACGGACGACGGACGAAGAGTGATCCTAATAGCTCACCCTGAGCATATGCTAAAAAGAAACAACTTAAAAATGGACTGTTAAAAAATTGGTAATTAAAATCAAGAATACTTTCCGCGATGTGGTATGCATCCTTTTTTTTTTTTAAAAGGGTAAAGAAAGCTGTCAAATATTAAATGTTGATACCCACTACTAGTTCATTACTTTAAAGGGACCCAACTGAGGTTTTGTTACACAACGGGAATGCAAATATTTTTTTGAGACTAATGTTGATGTAAGTCTAGACCAATAGCTTTAGTGCAAAATTTCAGATCGGTCCCTCGCTCAGTTTTTTCCGGAATATTCTAATTGTGAAAAATTATCAAAATTTGAAAGTGTTGCAAGGCCTTTTAATGAAACCCGACTAAAATTTCACAATCATACTATTTTCAATTTATTCTGAATATATTTCTTAAATATTTTTGCAAATATTTCTGTTTTAATTGCCCAAGCTGATATATTTAAGAATTTCAAATTTTATGTTTTTGGGCTCTTGGACCTCAGAGGAGTTCCTTTAATAATGTTAATAATTTGTTTATTGTCTACACTCAAACCCACTTGTTGCTTTATAAAGTAAAAGACAGAGTAAACTAGAACTGCCACTATCATGGCGTGAATACCCCCGCATACCACTTTGTCAGAATCAACAGTGGCCATTTAGAGCTCAAGGACAACCTCCCTGCCAAATCTGAGGTTACTAAGCCAGTGCATTGCTAAGTTATGGATTCTACATGCTTCAAATGTGAAAATGTCAAAATCAATACATTGCAGACAAGACATTCTTTAGCAATTGAGAAGAAAAGCTTTTTTTGTCAAGGTCCCTGTGACCTTGACCTTTGACCCAGTGACCTCAAAATCAATAGGGGTCATCTAATAGTCATGATCAACATCCATGCCAAATATGAAGACTATGGGTCAAAGGAATCTTAAGTTAATGGGTGGACAAACATTTTGAAGTCAAAGTCCCTATGACCTTGACCTTTGATCCAGTGACCTCAAAATCAAAAGGGGTCATCTAATAATCATGATCAAGATCCATGCCAAATATGAAGACTGTGGGTCAAAGGAATCTAAAGTTATTGGGCAGACAAACTTTTTGAAGTCAAAGTCCCTGTGACCTTGACCTTTGACCTGCTGACCTCAAAATCAATAGGGGTCATCTACTAATCATGACTAACCTCCATGCCAAACATGAAGACTGTGGGTCAAAGGAATCTTAAGCTATTGGGCGGACAAGCTTTTTGAAGACAAGGTCCCTGTGACCTTGACCTTTGACCTGGTGACCTCAAAGTCAATAGGGGTCATCTACTAATCATGACTAACCTTCATGCCAAATATGAAGACTGTGGGTCAAAGGAATCTTAAGTTAATGGGCAGACAAGCTTTTTGAAGTCAAGGCCCCTGTGACCTTGACCTTTGACCTGGTGACCTCAAAGTCAATAGGGGTCATCTACTAAATCATGACTACCTCCATGCCAAATATGACGACTGTAGGTCAAAGGAATCTTAAGTTATTGGGCGGACAAGCTTTTTGAAGTCAAGGCCCCTGTGACCTTGACCTTTAACCTGGTGACCTAAAAATCAATAGGGGTCATCAACTAATCATGGACTAACCTCCATGCCAAATATGAAGACTGTAGGTCAAAGGAATCTTAAGTTATTGGGCGGACAAGCTTTTGAAGTCATGGCCCCTGTGACCTTGACCTTTGACTTAGTAACCTCAAAATCAATAGGGGTCATCTACTAATCATGACTAACCTCCATGCCAAATATGAAGACTAAGGGTCAAAGGAATCTTAAGTTATTGGGCGGACAAGAAAAAACCGACGGACGGACAGCCGGACGGACTGACAAGCTGATTCCAGTATACCCCCCTTACAACTGTGTTGTGCGGGGGTATAATTATATCAATCATTATATACAAACAATATTTCATTTTTTTATAAAGGTTCAAAATGGTAGTGAGCAAAAATTTCAAATATAAAGTGAATATCAGTTTTTGACTTAAAAGAAATATGTAAAAAAAAAAGCAAAATTGACAGTCAGCATTTCCTGCCATTATGCATTTCAAATTAGAGAACAAGAACTTTTCAAAATTGAACAAGTATTCCATTTATGAACTGAATGCTTTTAAATGAGAAAGGAACCTTTGCAAAAAAATTGAAATAAAAACAAAATAAATACATATTATGGAAGGATTATCATTCTCTTCTTTTGGAAATGTTTGAAGTAACTTCATACAGTTTTTGTGAAAAAAGACATTAACAAAATGTTTGATCAGGGTAAAAATTGAAAAAATTATAATGATTATCGGTCCTTCGGTCTTTTTTATAATGACTTCTTTTTATGATAATGAAAAGTGAGATTAAAATACATGTACATGGATATTTCATCATCTGTAAAAATATGGACCATAACGAAAAAGTTAATAAATGCAAATGCCAACAAAATAGTCATAAAACATATCCACTTCTTTTCTTTGAATATGCCTAGTAGACATAAAACTACCATTAAAAAAAAAACCCTTGTTAATTCAATTTTTGTTTACATGTAATTGTTGAAGTGGAATTTAAGATTTACAGACGTGGTAACTGCAACCTTAATCAAGACTCAAATCTGGGACCTGTGGCATATTATTCCATAGCTGAGCTACCTGACCACTCCCTTTAAAAGCAATCAGTGCTATACTATAACACAGGGTTCCACATCTCACTATATTGAAACAAATCAACAAGTTCAGTCTAAGGATAAGATGTATTATGGCTTGATCGGAATGTACAACCATTTTTACTATTTATTCAGTGTCCAACACTTATATACTTACAAATCTCCAATAAAACCTTCGGCACACAGACATTCAAATGAATTGAGTCTATTAATACAATGGCCACCATTTTTACAACTTGGATTTGAACCTGTTTGGCATTTTTTCACCAAAGTTTCACATCTTGTTCCAGTGGCAAAACCTGAAAAATATATATACATGTACTAATATTAATATGTTAAACAAGAGAACCTTGATAGACCTTAATTGCTCTCCAAAATATAAATGTAAAATCTAATCTGTTTTAAGGAACAGTAAGTTTACTTTACAAAAAAAGATTGGGAAAATGTTTCCAAGCCGGTATTTTTTTTACATCTTCATTTTCACTTAAAAACCTCTACAATTACAAGTGTAGGTATGTGATAAAAGGTTACACTAACCTCTACAATCAAGTGTAGGTATGTAATAAAAGGTGACACTAGCCTCTACAATCACAAGAGTAGGTATGTGATAAAGGTGACACTAACCTCTACAATCACACGTGTAGGTATGTGATAAAAGGTTACACTAACCTCTACAATCATGGGTATGTGATAAAAGGTGACACTAACCTCTACAATCACAAGTGTAGGTATGTGATAAAAGGTGACACTAACCTCTACAATCACACGTGTAGGTATGTGATAAAGGTGACACTAACCTCTACAATCACAGGTATGTGATAAAAGGTGACACCAACCTCTACAATCACATATGTAGGTATGTGATAAAAGGTGACACTAACCTCTACAATCACAAGTGTAACCAGCAGCAGTGCTTGAACAAATTCCGTTGTTATAACAAGGATTTGATCTACAGTGATTAACTTGAGTAGAACAACTTGTTCCAAAGTATTGTCCTGTTTTAGATAAAAACAAAACAACATTTAAAGCTGAAAAGTCATTCCTGTCACAATACAATACAATACAATATCTAAATGGCTTCATAGGCCACAAAACCAGAAAAAATATACTTTTCAAGTAATTTGTTTACAATAATTATTATATAGCAAAGTTTTGTATAATATTAACTAAAGAAAATATAAAATAATACAAAATTTCCCTGCTTATCATCATTATCATAAATAAACCAAACAGATATCAGACGTTGATACCCAATGTATGTAAATACTTATTATCCATTTAGACATAATCATGCCATTAAGGATATTGGGGTACTAAGTTTTTCCAGCAAATTGTCATTAGGAACAATAGTGTCATATTGTCAATAGGATTAAATTAAAATCCCACAACTTATGAAAATACCTCACTATTTCACTTTCTCAACCAACCTTGGACTATATCATATGACCTTGACCTTAGCCAGATGGACCTTTTTTCACATTTTTTTCACATAAAACTATGTTTCACTTTCTGGAACAATTGTGATAAGTTACATGAAAAATAATTCTCAATGCATACAGAAGTTTTGCTTTGGGTAACTTTTTTTGTCTGACCTCTAAATATGACCTTGTCTTTTAACCAAAGATACCAAGTTCATGGGTGGACACTATGTCTTATGGTGGTGATCATTTGTATCAAGTTAAAATGAAATCCATCCATCAAAGTAGAAGATATGATCCTGACTAAACCTGCTCATTTCTTCATGTCTGGTAAGTGACCTTGCATATATTTATTTGATTTTGCTTGGAAGACCCAGTTTCATGACATACCTTAATAGCTTCATAGGCCAAAAAACCAGAACAAAATATAGTTTGCAAGTAATTTGTTTACATAAGTACACACTTATATAGCAAAGTTTTGAATAAAATTTACTAAAGAAAGTATAAAATAATACAAAATTTCCGTGCTAACCATCATTATCATAAATAAACCAAACAGATATCAGACGTTGATACCCAATGTATGTAAATACTTTTTATCCATTTAGACATAATCATGCCATTGAGGATATTGGGGTACTAAGTTTTTCCAGCAAATTGTCATTAGGAAGAATAGTGTCATATTGTCATAAGGATTTAATTAAAATCCCACAATTTATGACAATACCTCACTATTTCACTTTCTCAACCAACCTTGGACTATATCATATGACCTTGACCGCCAGATGGACCTAATTTTTTTTTCCCACATTTTTTTCACATAACACTATGTTTCACAATTTGGAACAATTGTGATAAGTTACATGAAAAATAATTCTCAATGCATACAGAAGTTTTGCTTTGGATAACCTTTTTTGTCTAACCTCTGAATTTGACCTTGTCTTTTAACCAAAAAGACCTGGTTCATGGGTGGACAGTATGTCTTATGGTGATGATCATTTGTATCAAGTTAAAATGAAATCCATCCATCAAAGTAGAAGATATGATCCTGACTAAACCTGCTCATTTCTTCATGTCTGGTAAGTGACCTTGCATATATGAGCCGTGTCACAACAAAACCAACATAGTGCGTTTTCGACCAGCATAGATCCAGACCAGCCTGCGCATCCGCGCAGTCTGATCAGTATCCATGCTGTTCGCTAAAAGACCCTATAACAAGTAAATAAACTGATGCACAGGCTGGTCTGGATCCATATGCTGGTCGCAAACCAATTAAATTGGTTTTGTCTTGACGTGGCCCATATTAATTTGATTATGCTTGGAAGACCCAGTTTCATGACTGTGAACATTTCTTATAAAATGTAACACTACCAAACTTTCTGTACACACATTTTTATATTTTTATCCAACTTTTGCGCTCTAATTGCAATCTTGATCTTGACTGTATGGACTGAATTTTCCACACAATACACTGGACAACAATTGTGAACATTTGTGTAAACTTATAAATATTAAAATCTCTCAATTCATGTAGAAACTTTGCTTCAAACATTTTCTTTTCACCTCTAAATGTTACCTTGACAAAATATTCAACAGATTTCTTTATAACAATAAAATTGTTTACCTGGTGTACAATCACATACTGGTTCATTGTTTCTAATGACACAGTTACCTCCATTGGAGCAGTAGTTATTACATAGGGTACCTGTAATATACACAATTATTGAAGCAATCGTGTATTTGTCCAATTTTGACAATCAGTAAGACGTTAGTATTGTTTTATCCTTATTTACTTTTTTGGCATTTACTTCTATATAGTGAATTAATTTATACAATATTTAGTTCGATATCTGATTGTGCAGAAAATTTGTAGCTTATTTGACAATATCTATTTCGATACATCATTACACAGAAAATTTATAGCTTATTTAAACTTCACTCCAGTTGGCTTCCTGGTTCTAAACAGTATCATATGACCTGACACGGCTATGATTTGATTCGGGCTCAAACCCATAATCCCTGGACTGAGAGGCATTTTTACAAACAGGCCAAAGCTCCACTATACTTTTTCAGCTTCAGCTCCCTCGCTCCCCAAGTGTATACATGCCTCTCAAATATAGCAAAGTCTCAACAGCTAGTAAATAACCTTGCTGCCGTAATATCCATACAGTTAAACTAACTAGTCTGTAATACTGCTGACTCAGCAAACTTTCAAAATATTCAAGATGATATCTCTTCAAATCAATACATGTAACAGACAAGTCCGTTCAGTAAATTCAGCAGATCATACATCCAGTACTTACCAGCAGCAAGACATTGGGTAGATGAAGTCAAACCAGTTTCTGTAGAATACGAGGAACTTTGTGTACATTGATTACAACTATTTTGCCCTTTCTGGGATTGATAGTGATTCCTGGGACACTGCCTACATGCTCCATTCTGATTATAGCCATTGAATGAGAAATATCCTTCATCACATTTTCCTATAAAAATAACAAGAGCGATCAGTAATCACATGTGCCTCATGATGGCCAATTTCATGTTGGGACAAATTTTGTGACAAACGGACAGACAGACGAACAGTGCACAACTAGACTTGGATCTGATCATTCCTGTAAAGTTTGGATAAAATTGCACCAGTAGTTTATGAGGAGTAGTCCGGACAAGCTTTTGCGTATCTGGCAACACACAGAAAAAAAACACCTTTTTATCAAAGGGCCATAACTCAGCCAAAAGTCATTCAACCGGAAAACCCGTGCAATATGCCCAAGGACTTGAGCTACAGATCAATCCTGTAAAGTTTCATTGAAATTGCATTAGTGGTATAAGAGAAGTAGTCCGGACAAACTTTAAAAATAAGAATTATTAAAGGGCCATAACTCTGACAAAAATCATTGAACCGGAAAATGCTGACAATATACACAACTAGACTTGGTACTGATCATTCCTGTAAAGTTTGGATGAAATTGCACCTGTAGTTTATGAGGAGTAGTCCGGACAAGCTTTTGTGTATCTGGCAACACACAGAAAAAAAACACCTTTTTATCAAAGGGCCATAACTCGGCCAAAAATCATTCAACCGGAAAACCCTTGCAATAAGCGCAAGGACGTGAGCTACAGATCAATCCTGTAAAGTTTCATTGAAATTGCATTAGTGGTATAAGAGAAGTAGTCCGGACAAACTTTAAAATTAAAAATTATTAAAGGGCCATAACTCTGACAAAAATCATTGAACCGGAAAATGCTGACAATATGCACAACTAGACTTGGTACTGATCATTTCTGTAAAGTTTGTATGAAATTGCACCAGTAGTTTATGAGGAGTAGTCCGGACAATTTTGTGGCGGACGGACGGACGGACGGACGGACAGACAGAGAGACAGACAGACAGACAGACGGACAGACAGACGACGGAGAAGTGATCCCTATATGTCGCCACTACTCCGTAGAGGCGACACAAAAAAGAAGAAAATAAAAAAACATTAAACAGTAACAAAGACAGGGCAGTTATAATAGATGGGTTTTTTTGTATCATCACACAAAGTAACCTCTCATATAGCAAGAGCTGTCCTTAAGACAGTATGCTTGACTATTGTCATTGCTTGACAGTTGAAAAAAGGGGCATTACTCTGCAGAATAAAGATAATTCAGAGTTATGGAACCTTTGCCTATATGTTAGATAATCAGAGATAACAACCTATCACCTCCATCAGTTTTGGAGATTGGGGGATGGGGAAGAGAACAAAAGCTCACATTTCTCTTTGAATAGTAGTAGAGCTGAAGACAAATTAACATACTCTACAAAAAGAATGTTACTTTCTTGAAATTCTGCTTGTTCTAATTTACTTTATATCTATTTTCTTTAAAAAAAGCTTTTTATGATTACTCAAAAATCAGTGAAACTGTTATTCCCTTTATTGCTGTGGGTTTGCCGTAACGGTTGAGGCATCAGAATTGAAGCCACCGTTTAGCACTAGGTGATTGTAAGAGGCAAATGAACGTGTTCTAATTACTGAAGTCTATGCAAATCTAGCTCTAGCTCAAGCAGGTGAGGTGGTTTTGACCCCTGGTGTTGCTTTAATTTGTAACACCCAAGGTAAGCAAAAAAATCATCTTTCCTGTTTTTGCGCCATATGACATAAATTGTGTTCGTGCACTGTAAAACCAACCAAACAAACAAGCCTGTTACATTTCCTACAGAGGTATTCAAGCACTGCTTAACAATACAAAGATGTTACTTATACTTACTTATGCATTGTGAATCGAAAGTTGATGTAGTTGTGGCGGTTATCATATCATTATTTATACTGCAAGGCGTACAATCTGTGGCTCCGAATGTTGATGAATACCTGCCGATACCACAAGGAGTACACGGTGCCTTCCCGGTGCTTGAGTAGAATCCTGGCGGGCACTTGGCTGATTTAAAAAATTCTTATGTATAGATATATATCATTGTTTGAAAGTAGGATAAATATAAAATAAGACAGTACAGTATTGATACATCACATTGTTGACTTTGATAAATAATTTCGAGTCGGCAACCTTTACGACTCGGTTATATGGAATCTTTTCAAATGGAAATACGTCAAAGGCATCTCAACTGAGCAGAACGACCATCATTATAATACTGCATGATGTTTGTTACGTCAATTTTCATTTGTCAATCATAACATTTACATTACCAGTATATACTTGGCTGACGCAAAGTTACGAATAATTTTCTATTTTGACAAATAAGATATCAATTTGACAAGTTAGGCCTAAAAAAATTGTTTCTGTTAGGGTAACACTACCCTACCAAAAAATATGCCTGACACTACCATTTTTATTTAGATCTGTTCAAAAAAATATTGCAAAATTCAAGTGTGTTTAGATATCATGTTCTTGTACCATCGGGGAACATTATCGGAGGTTTCATTGCTAAGGTATAATTGAAAATAATGAATAGTTAATCTGGCATAGTAACCATGAGTCTTCCTTTATGAAAATGAGCCAATTTTTAAATACCCAACACCAATCACTACCGTACAAATCAGGGGAATGAAGATTTTCTCTGGATTAAGATGTTCAGAATTGAACATGATTTAAAAAAAAAAATTCTGACCTACCCTACCTATTCTTGGAGGTTGGAGAGCAATTTTGTTACCCTAACAACACAATTTATTTTTTTAGGCCTTATATGGAATAATTTCTATCCATTCTTGTGAAGTGGAAGGTAATACGAGACAATGAGCACTTTCTCCTAGATGCCCCTTAATATTTCTACATGATATAATTCATTACACAAATTTTCATGCAACTTTATTCAGACTACTATAAATGTACTTACATCTGCACATAGTTCTTGCTGTAGCACCAGCAAAGAAAGTTGCATTTGTAGCAGGACAGGAGGTACAAGACCCTTCCTCATGTGAGTTGTATGTTCCCTCAGCACAGTTTACACACTGGTTATTTATATCTCTTGAGGTACCTCTTGGGCACTTTACTAAAATCAAGAGATTTATAATATTATTACATATTTCCCTCAGCACAGTTAACACACTGGCTATTTATATCTCTTGAGGTACCTCTTGGGCACTTTACTAAAATCAAGAGATTTATAATATTATTACATATTTCCCTTAGCACAGTTAACACACTGGCTATTTATATCTCTTGAGGTACCTCTTGGGCACTTTACTAAAATCAAAAGATTTACAATATTATTACATATTTCCCTCAGCACAGTTAACACACTGGCTATTTATATCTCTTGAGGTACCTCCTAGTCACTTTACTAAAATCAAGAGATTTATAATATTATTATATATTTCCCTCAGCACAGTTAACACACTGGCTATTTATATCTCTTGAGGTACCTCTTGGGCACTTTACTAAAATCAAGAGATTTATAATATTATTATATATTTCCCTCAGCACAGTTAACACACTGGCTATTTATATCTCTTGAGGTACCTCTTGGGCACTTTACTAAAATCAAGAGATTTACAATATTATTACATATTTCCCTTGGCACAATTTACACGCTGGTTATTTATATCTCATGAGGTATTTCTCGGGTACTTTTCAGCAAGAGCACTGCTAGGCGGAGCATTTTATGCCCGAAAGTCTTCTTTTTTAGTAAGGATGAAGCATTTGTAAGATATGGGAATTAAATAAAGTATTACCTCCTTCAAAAAGCAATCCTCCTTTATAGCTGAACAACCTTCATATATATATATATATAACCTTCATATATATATAGAAATGAGAGAATATATACACACATACCACCACATCGATATGCCAGTCCAATTACGGCACAGCGCCTAGCAGAACAGTCATAATTGGACTGGCATATCGATGTGGTGGTATGTGTGTATATATTCTCTCATTTCTATAACAATTTATCTGCACACTTGTATGTTAAGTGATCCCATGCAGGGGAAAGTATAACTGTATTGAATTTAATTATCTCCCTTTATATATATACAGTTGCTGTTTCCACAGCACCACCATCAGGTTGTTATCTTGTAACTAAAGATGCTATGATTGATGAACGTAAAACGTAAAGACGCCAGGGGTATACCATAATATAAGCAAATTTTTAGGGCATAATAATTAATGTACTGAATATAAGTGATCATCCTATGAAGTTTGACAGTTGTAAAACTGTTAACAATATTAAGTAAATTTGATATTAACCTTTGACATTGTGACCCCATTACAGATATGGATCTTTTATTCAGTATAGGCAATCATCCTTTGAAGTTTGAACACTGACTGGGCCAAATGGAACTTAAGGTATGCTCCAGAAACCACAATTTTCACTGTAAAGATCATTGTGACCCTGACCTTTCACCTTATGACCCTAAAATCAATATGGGTCATGTATTGGACTATGCTATTCATCCTATAAAATTTTACAGCTGTAGGTTGATAATTACTTAAGTTATTGAGCGCAAACCGTTTTCAGTTTTAAGGTTACAGTGACCTTGACCTTTGACCGTATGACCCCAAAGTCTTCTACCCAATATGGACCATCATCCTATGAAGTTTGAATATTGTGGGCCAAATGGAACTTAAGTTATGCTCCAGAAACTGTTTTCAGTTTTAAGGTAGAAGTGACCTTGACCTTTGACCTTGTAACCCAAAAATCAATAGGGGCCTTCTACCCAATATGGACAATCATCCTTTGAAGTTTGAGTATTGTGGGCCAAATGGAACTTAAGTTATGCTCCAGAAACTGTTTTCAGTTTTAAGGTAATAGGGACCTTAACCTTGTGACCCAAAAATCAATAGGGGTCTTCTACCCAATATGGACAATCATCCTATGAAATTTGAGTATTGTTGGACAAATGGAACTTAAGTTAAGCTCCGTAATTTGTTTTCAGTTTTAAGGTAATAGAGACCTTGACCTTAAACCTCGTGACCCCAAAATTAATAGGCGTCTTCTACCCAATATGGACAATCACCCTATAAAATTTGAGTATTGTGGGACAAATGGAACTTAAGTTATGCTCCGGAAACTGTTTTCAGTTTTAAGGTAATAGTGACCTTGACCTTTAAACTTGTGACCCCAAAATCAATAGGGGTCTTCTACCCAATATGGACAATCATCCTATGAAGTTTAAGTATTGTTGTCCATATGGAATTTAAGTTATGCTCCGGAAACTGTTTTCAATTTTAAGGTAATAGTGACCTTTGACCTTGTGACCCCAAAATCAATAGGGGTCTTCTACCCAATATGAACAATTATCCTATGAAGTTTGAATATCGTGGGCCAAATGGAAGTAAAGTTATGCTCCGGAAACCAAATTGCAAACAGACGGATGCCAGGGGGTATAACATAATATGCCCGAAAGAATTTCGGGCATATAAAAATCAAGAGATTTTCAACATTATTACATATTTCCCTCAGCACAGTTTACATGCTGGCTATTAATATCTCTTGAGGTACCTCTTCGGCACTTTACAAAAAAAGAGATTTATAGTATTATTACATACTTCCATCAGCACAGTTTACACACTGGTTATTTATATCTCTTGAGGTACCTCTCGGGCACTTTAATCAAGATATCATAGATACTTGTACATACATGCAAAATAGTTTTTGGTACAGTTAACACATATATGTTGATACATATTTTTTAATATTGCACAAAGCATGCACATTTCAAGAGATGGGAGTCATTTTCCCCCTCTTGCATTTGGCTAGTATATGTTGTCAAACCCCACTATATGATTTTGATCGACTTATGTTTATGTATGTTTGTCTTTAGTGAAAATCAATACAAAAATATCTTATGACTGACACCCCCCCCCCCCCCTTGGAAAAACTAGTTAAATGCAAAATCCCCTCTAAAATATGCATTACCCCTAGCCCAGCTTTTGGGAACCACTCTAGAAAAATTCTTTGATTCGCACATACAAATGATAGTACCATCAGACAAGGGGCACATGACTTTATGCTTTGTTCAAATTTATGCAAGGCTTATTCAAATTTTTGCAATTTTTGCAAGGCTTATTTAAATTAATGCACGGCTTAAGTGATGAAAGGAGAGTAGACTATAGCATTCTAATCCAGACAGTGACTGAACAGCCAACGGCGGCCACACCTGACGTCATTAGGAAGGTTGGTCGTTTCATCGCCAAAGTGAACCCGCCTACTCAGAGAGAGGCTTCAAGATTGAATGTGTCTAAGGGAACTTTCTATAACATTATAAATAAAATTCTGAAAGCAAAATTACGAAAGAAGTGCGAAGTACATCAACTTAATATGGCACAAATTATGACGCGCAGGGCCAAATCTTGGAAACTTTATCTGAAGTTATAATGCAACCAGTGGAAAAACTTTGTCACTTCGGATGAGGCTATGTTTTACTTAAGCAGACGTTATGGGCGAAAAAAGGTATGTTACATTAGAAAAGGGGATGACCTTGGTGAGAAATTGAAGTTTGTCAAATGCGATGCTTTTGCTAGCGGTTTCATGGCATGGACTGGTGTGTCTTCTAGAGGGAAAACGTAGATACGGATCATCGATAAAGGTACAAAGGTGAACTCTGAGTACTGTATCAACAAAGTGCTAAGCCATTTTTGGAGAAATACTTTTTTGAGGAAGGCAAAAGCAATGTCACATTCCACCAGGACAGTGCATCTAGCCACACATCTGAAAGAACACTTTAATTTCTGAAAGACCGTTAACGTTAAATTACTTTTATTAGCCCCGAGGAATGGGTGCCAAAGTCACCTGATGCTGCACCGATGGACTTTGGTATTTGGGGTGTTCTAAAATGTCGGCTTCAGAAGCAGCAAATAAACACGCTTGTTGGTCTCAAAAGGGCACTGAAGTACGAGTGGCGCAAACTAAACAAAGAAACTATAAATAAGACTTTAAAATTGTGGCCAAAGCTTTGCAGGATAATTTACAACTGTCGTGGATCTCATATTGAACATTTACTACAATAAATGAGTAATTCCTTAGAATTGGTTGAAGTTATCTTTTGTTCAAAAATAAGTTGGGCACCTCTCGTACATCAGTTACATACATTATGTAAATAATTATACCTGTGCCAAGCCTGTAAGTAGACATACCCTTTTCAGTGTTCTAAGTGCAAAAGCTATTTTAAGCACGCAATTTCAAGTAAAATATATGGTATTTCTAGTATGTATACAATATTTTTACTGTTAATTAACTAAAGGAAAATAAATGCTTGTAAAAATATAAAAAAATTATTTCAGTACAGATACTTATAGATCTATATGCGGCACACATTCGAATGTCCGAAAAGCTTTATAAATATATTAATTTAACCTACTTTTTTTCCTTTCATTTTTTTATTGGGTTTAATTTTGCACTAACAAAGAATACAGGTCATATGGCGACTTTCAAGCTTGAAACATGGAGGAAGACTTCGGGTGCCCCTCAGGAACCTCTCAGCTGCCCCTCTGTACATTAGCTTTAAGAATGGAGGAGAACTTCCTGTGCTCCTTACCTGTCCGTACATTTTCCATGAATTTCCATGAAAACTTCCGGAATTTTCATGGAAATTGCCAACTCTGGATAATTCGGACTAGTTTTCCGGGGTTGTTCAAAGAAAACTGAAAAAAAAATCGCGAATTTCTCCATGAATTTCCAGAGCTTTTTTCATGAAACTTTTCCAGAGTTTTCCATGAAAATGTTCCAGAGTTTTCAAAGCAACTCTGGAAATTGTTCTGCTAAAATGACATTCTACTCCGGAAAAAATGTTCCAGAGTTACTCTGGAAAATGTTCCGGAGTTACTCTGGAAAATGTTCCGGAGTTACTCTGGAAAATGTTCCGGAGCCGCTGTGGAAAAAGTTCCGCAGTTAAAAATAGGATATGGGGTAAGATGCCATTAGCCTTGAAATAATTCTGGAAATACTATGGAATTCACTCTGGAACATTTTGGGATTACTGAAATGATGGTTGCATAATAAAATTAAATGACCTTTTAATTTGCATTTAATATGTTTTTATTAGCAAATCCAAAAAAGCACTCTAGTCATCAAGAATTCAAACACATACATGAGTGTTTAATTCAAACAAATGTAATTTAACATCCATCTAGTACACATGTATATATCCTTCACTTCACATGATGCAACATCTTCTTGACTTGTGGTGTGACCTCTCTGATGGATACTGAAAAATATGAATTAATTGTATATAAATACATGTACTTGTGTTAAATGCACAATGTCAATATAATTAGTATTGTTTAAACAGGATTGATAAAAAACATGAAAGGGTGAAAAAAGTTAAGATGGAAAACTTTCAATTCAATGATTTTTGCAGAATATCAGCACAGAGTTATCAAGTAAATACCATGCTTAATTTGATGAAAATAATTTTTTTTGGTCAAAATCAACATTATGATAAACTTGTGTCAATTATTTCCCTGCTTTTCCTATATCTATGTAATGACAACTTTATGTAATGGCAGTTTAAATTACTCAATGATCTTCACAAGTACTTAATTACCACTGAAAGTTTGAGATGTGTTCAGTGGAGTCAGAATAGAGATGTGTTCAGTGGAGTCAGTATAACAATAATATATGCATCAAACATGAAGAACAACATTTTGTTCAGTGTTTGGAAAATAGCATGCATTTATATGAAAACATGTTACTTCGACTTTTTTCAACAAAACAAACTAAATTATTACCAGGATAGTTCTGTAAGCATTCTGTATTCAACAGTACATTTATCACTTTTCCCTCATCTGACATTCTTTGAGTTGAAACATCTCATGTGACTTCATGACTTGAAAATTTGCAACCTAATATGTTGAAAAAATAAACATAAATTGTACATGAGTAACAAGAAATTACAATTAAGGCATATGAATTTTATTAAATGTGAATTTGGCAAATTCATTGCTTGATATGGAATCTGTTTCAATCACAAATATTTTGAATGGAAAATTATAATCTCTGATTTAAAATTTCCCGCCATTATCTAAAAATGAAAAAGATTTTCTTAACTATTTAATATTGAAAAGATACATGTATGTAGAAAACAGTGTATACTTCGTCGCCCTATTCTAAAAATGGTGTATCTACAATTTTCTCTTTTTTGGGAAAAAGGGGTTAAAGGTTCAAGACGTTGTAACTTTTATTTAATAACTCCTAACAGTGTGGACTTCTGGATTGGTATTATTTATGTCAACATGTGATGAAAGCACTTTGTTATATACCTTTATAATTTGCAGTAATTGTAAAAATTAAAAAAAAAATTTGGAGATAGACCAAAAATGTTTATTTTTAGATAAAAAAATTACTCTAAAAATGAGTTTGCGGAGATATGACAAAGTAAGGCTAAAATTGTTAATACTTTTTGAGTTAGCATTTTTTAAGAGTAATAATTTTACTATAGAATATTAGTAGATTTTTACATTCTAAAGAACATTTTCAGCCAGAGTGGTTGAACCGCTGACATTGAATCACTTTATCTTCGTAAATTACTATGTCAAAGTGTAAATTCATTCACGTGATCTCCAAATTGGGCCTTTCTCGATAATTACAATATAAAATTGTGCCATAAAAAAAGAAAACATTTCACAAAATTTTTAATCAATGAACTTGCTAAAACAAACTGACATATTTTGAACCATTATGAAAAATGAAATGATTGTAACCATCTCTAATATTGTGATTAAATGATACAGATATAAATTATATTACCAATAATTCTTTTTAATTCACACAATTAAAGTCAATACCACATGCATTCAAAGTCTCAAGTATTGTTTGTGGTTTAATATCAACGTATGAAAAAATATCTGCTCAAGTTCTTAACAATCTTTCAAGATTGCAAAATCGTCGTTTTCATGATTTTACATCCAGTGAATTTTGCGATCTCCCATAATGGTGTTTGTCGCACAACGTAGATACTGGACATTCCATAAACAGGCTAAATCAAACCGAGCCGGCAACATTTTAGATCATGCCGTATTGTGTTTTAAGAATTCTGCTATTATCTAATAAATATAATCATTGATGACCCGGAGAACACTGAAACTCGCATGCAAACTTAAAATCTATGTTTTGACTAGACAGTGGTATTCCGATCCCATTGGAATGTTAAATATCTATTTATTTTGTGAATATTTTAAGACTTGAAACAATGATTTATCTGAAACTGATGGCAAGTCAAAACTTCCCTACAGACTTGATGTTGTTGATATAAAATTCCATAGTTTTGTGGAAGTTCTGCTAACTGCAGTCACAAGTTCTAAGAGACAACATTTCTGTAAGGACAACGTCTGATAATGTAAGTAAGTCTGACCTGAAATGGACAAAATATTATCATTAACAATTAAACAACAACAATGTTCGATACTCCAAATAGTTCCAAATAGTTCATACGAATATCCGAATATAGTTATCCGAAACTATGTGATTGTGAAACTTTGAGAAATATATATAAAAGAATGATATTACTATGAAACAAATACTAATACAAAATATAGATTCACTTATAAAACGTATAAAAGCTAAAATATATTACTTACATGCTTCAGAAATCATTTTATAACTGTTACTTTCCTAGTTAGCTGGCTGATTTAGATACGATTGTTGTTGTTATCACTGGAGTTATAACAATTATATTGTCAGGCCCCTTCAGGTCACATGACATATATTTTTCAACTTGATTGGCTGGCACGAAAGATTAGCCTTAAAGTGTTACATGTGTTGGAGATACGACGAAAAAAGGCTAACAGCAAAGCTTTCCATTGGACATAGAACAAAATACAGACGCTATATCTACAAAAGTATGACGTAAATCTTCACAAGTTTTGTTTTGGAGATAGAACAAACTAATACTAAAATAAATGTGCAGTTATCTCATTTTTGGTAAAAATGGAGTTAGGACATTTTTAGAATAAGGCGACGACTTGCAAAGAAAATTTGAAAAAACTAAAATAATAAGTGTTAAAAAATAAAAATACATTTGTACTTACTGTTAGAAATGGTTATATATACAATGATATACATGTAGTTCCCTCCATTTTAACTGAATCATGAAATACACATGTTTAAAAGTTCATATTTCCAGAAAACTTTTGTAAATTTGTCCAGTTTAAACTCATTTGATCTAATTTCCAATGCTCAAACATAATATTTCAAGTTATAACTTTTAAGCAGTTAGGCACTAATAAACATTATCTTTCAATGCTTCTGTTCAAATGACCCGCCTGGAAGGAGTGTTCTGACCTGTGATTTGTTCTGCAAGGGTATTAAGTTACTTGGGAGCTACAGTGTAGTATAGTATGTTGTAAACCTGCTTTACCTCTTTCTATTCTCTTATATCAGATAGGTGAGTTTAACTTTGGTAGTTATGAAACCAGTGGGTTCCACTTGAGTGGTCATAAATATTTACATTGTGGCTGATGCTGATTTGAATGTTCCAGAAATTAATCACTATGTAACATATTTAGTTACTTCTACACAGGATGAATGTATAAATTATATATACTTCAATAGAGATACATAATAAATTTATCACATAATAAATTTATCAATAAAGAAACATAAGTGCATAACAATTACATTTGTTCTTAAATTTAAATTGTTTCTCTTTAATTGTGTATTTATTTTTTCTAACTTAGGGTAATATATAATACTGAACCACTCAGATCAGGCTTGATATGAGATACCTTGAAAATAACGAAAAAAATACCTTAATGCATTTTCAATGCCAGTGTGGCAATGGGGTTGCATGTTTTTTTTTATATTTATTGTTTTTTTTGCAATAAAAAAAGAAACAGTTAAGCTCTTGAGGGGCTTATTACAGTTTCATTTTGTTTAACTATAAGTGTTTATTTTGCTAACTGCTACTTTTAATTACAGTGAGTACACATGTATGACCAATCTCAATGCTAAGTAATTAAAGTCATTTGTTCTTGCTGTTTTTAAATATCTGGTCAACAATTTACAATTGTGTCAATGCCATATTTTAAATTGTCTTATTTTAATTATGTCTTAAAACCAGAAAACTGTCTTATATTAAAAAGATTATTTATGCCTACTTAGGAAAAAATATTAAAGTTAAATGTATTAAGTGAAGTATACGTAAATGCAGAAATCAAATGAAAATTTCCTAAGTCCAAAACTTTCTCAAAAATGACTAAGTGTTTTCCAGAGTAAAACTCCTTGAAAATTGTCTAAGTGTTAACTTTCCAGAGTTTCCAGAACTGTTTCATGGTTATTTCTTTGATGAAAAAGTCAAGTTCCAGAGTTCTCCATGAAAATTATTCCAGAGTACTCTGTAAATACTGTGGAAAAAAGCTTGTTTCCATGAAAATTCATGGAAATTCATGGAAAATCGGTTATTTTCCAGAGTTTTTCCAGAAAGACTGTGGAAAATCTACAGACGGGAAATTTGTACATTATTTCAGGACTACACCTACTAGTTTTTTTTCCTGTTTTTTAATATTTGTTAAATACTACTCACTTCTTAGTGAACTAATCTCGACACAAGGATACTGCCCGGCATATGTTGTTGTTAAACCTGATGGACAGGTTTCACATTGTGTTGGACTTACAGTGTACTGACCAACAGGACAGGCTGTACATGGAGCTAAACCTGTTGAAGATGTAGACCCTTGTCTACATGTTGCTGAAAATATAAAATAAACATTTGTAAGTTAAACTCAACAATAGCATCATAGAGACAATGTTAAACACCCAAATGCATATTTGTATGAGGAATCAAAATTATTATCTCAATACATATTTGGACTAGTCAATTATAAAAATTATCGCACGACAAACTGGTTTTATATAAATTATCCTTCTGATAAAAAAGGTTTATTCATATTGTTAAGCTACCTATTGTTTCTCTTCTTTTTATTTGAATACAATCCTATATTTCTAAATCAAAATTTCTAATGTATTTTAAAACTAGATATGTGTCCCTGTAATGTCTTGCATGCAACAAATTATCTGGCTGTAGTGGAGGTATATGCCAAATATTTCAACGAGAACTCCGCGAGTCGGATGTGTCGCCTTGTGAACAGTATAGTTGTCACTTAAGCATTTTCTTCTAAACTGTAGGTTATTTATAAACACTGCTAAAAGGGCAATAACTAAAAGAATAAGAAGTGCAGAGTACCAGTTCTTCTTAATGAGCTCTATCATCCTATGAAGATAATCAAGTCCATAGCTTTTATAGTTGAAGAGAAATGGTCCCGACACAATTAAAGTATGAAAATTAACAAAGGGCAATAACTCTAAAACCATGGAGTACAGGTTTTTATGCACTGCACTTCATCTCAATAAGACCTATCATCCTATGAAGTTTCATGTCCAAAGCTTTTAAATAAAGAATGAAAATAAAAAAGGGCAATAATTCAAAAAAATAAGAAGTGAAGAGTACCGGTCCTTGTGCACTGCACTTTTTCTTAATGAGATCTATCATTCTATGAAGTTTAAAGAAAATAGCTTTCATTGTTTAGGAAAAATGGCCCGTACAAAAATAAAGTATGAAAATTAACAAAGGGCAATAACTCAAAAAATAAAAAAAAACAGAGTGCTAGTTTTTAAGCACTGCACTTCCTCTTAATAAGATTTATCATCCTATAAAGTTTCAAGTCCATAGCTTTTATAGTTGAAGAGAAATGGCCCGGACAAAATTAAAGTATGAAAATTAACAAAGGGCAATAACTTAAAAATTAAGAAGTGCAGAGTACCAGTCCTTGTGCATTGCACTTCAGGTTATTGAAAGAAGCATGCATACCAAGTTTGAAGTCAATCAGACTGAGTTATGCTCCGGACAAGCTTTAGGGGACGCCGAGTCCAATGCCAACAACGCCGCCGACAAAAGTAACCCCTATATGTCGCCTTTCCAAGGCAAAGTTTTTATAAACCGAACAAGATTTACATTTGACTTCCAAGTACAACAATGAAACCTTCAAGCAATGATGTGGATCTTGCATGCAACAATTCACATAAAAACCATGTGTACCAAATTCATTTAAATTCCATCATACACGCAGTTTATATGAACTTTAAATTAAAACTCCAGTTGCATTTAATGCTATTTGACAAAATGACAAGTTCAGACCCTAGCTATGAATTTGACCTTTGAGTTGCACACATCACATCACCTTCTTATGGTGTAGTAACAGTAACCTTGAACCTACATCCCAAGCAATAACTCCCCATAAGCTTGCTATATGCAGTTCCCAGCTAACAAGGTTACAAGGTGGGGATAATAAAAGATTAAAATGCTGGTAGATCAGTTACAATTTTGAGGGGTTTAAATATTCACATCTTGTAAATGTTTAATTTTTGTTATCATTAAAGAAAGAGACCATGAACACACCCAGCTATAAAATGTTATTTCTAATCCAGAACTATTTTGCCCCCACAAATCAAATAACCTTAAATTGTGTTTTTGTATGCTTCCATTTAAATTACTGTGTTTAGAAATATCCACAGGCTTCAAATTTTCTCGATCTTTGCAGTGACATTCGATCCGTGAATTCATGTTAAGCGTTAATATTTCAACACCAATACTTTCTTAATAATCATATTTTCGCGCTTCTATAGAACAATGTATCTCAGTGGTGTATTATATAGAGGATATTTGTTTGTTTGTGTGTAAGATGAAATTTTATTTCATCGACTGAGCTTTAAAAACAGTATTCTCACGAGTGGCGTGAAAATATTTAAAGTTCACAAGATGAAATAAAATTACATCCTACACAACAAACAAACAAATTTTCTTTTTATTTTATGTTTAAAAACAAGTTAAAACGTAATTTCCTTGATATTACTTTAATATTAAATTCTGTTTCCCCACTGGTAGTCTCTATTATGTACATGTATTAGTTGATTTTCTCTTAAAACACAAGATGTCTTGGGCTGAAAAATAAGTTCCATAATCAACGTTAAATGGCGGTGATATTATTCATTTTATTAAAAAATATGAATGATCGCTTGTTTTAATAATAAAAGCAAACAATTCTAGTAGGAGAGAAAGTCAAACCATCCATCCATATTTCTGTTACTTACTGCGAATTCATATTAGACCTGGCTATGTTTAATGCAAGCGGGCGCCATTTTTAAAAGTTGTGTATTTCACGGGAGGAAAATAATTGTGTTTGATTCAGAGGGATATCATTTGGATTTGTTAGTCATACACATTTTTAAAAGAAAGAAAACTTATTTGAGGATTGTAACAGACAATATATAAATGTTGACAGATGTGTAAACATTAAAAAAACGGCTAGGAAATTGGAAACTTGGAATTGTTGAAAGGCTGCCTAATACCAACGCTGGGTTGTTTACTTATTCTTCGGGCTGATGGCTATCATTGCTTTTCAAGTTTTCATAAAGCATACGGCAGTTATTGTTCGTAGGATACTTAAATATGCCCAAATGTCATCAAGAGCAGTTTTGCATGTGGAAGGAATGTATTTTTCAGACTGTAAAAATGAATCAAAAAAATTAAGGGACGATATTTGGTGATTGCTAATTTGGATGAATAGAAGTAAGTTTTCTTCTTTTTATAACTTTTGACATTTAAGTTATATATCAATTTCAGCTTTGCTTTTCTCTAAACAGCCTGACATTGTAAAAATTGTCAGCAAAAACAAGATCACATGGGGAAAATCGTAAAAAAGTAGTTTCGTTATTGAAAAGTGTGAAATTATATTTTGATAATTTTTACTGTGAAATTATCAAATAATATTTTCATGGATAAATCAGTAATCCATTGAAAAGTATAAAATAAATGCTTCCAATACATACGATTTTATTTAAATGTTAACTGTGTAATTGTGTTTTGTTTTCCAAGTTTTTCATCAGCTAAATCGTTTTTGACGCAAACTGTGAAAAATCAATCACATTAACGGGCATTCTTTTGTTTGCCATAATATATCCGTTAGACAACCGCCTCAGTGGTCGAGGGGTAAGAGCCGATGACTGCTAATCCAGTTACCTCTCTGGCGTGGGTTTGATCCCCAGAAGATGCTTTGGTACTTTAGCACGGAGGAAGGTAGTCTAGTACTGGTGTAACTCTCCAGGAACGATGGTTAGGAAACTACCCACCTATATGACTGAAAGACTGTTGGAAAAAGGCGTAAAAAAAAACACACACACAAACAAACAAGACAATGGCTTTGTCCTGTACACTAGCGTATTGTTTGACACCAGGCATTAAAAACAAGAGCTGTCCGTAAGACAGCGCGCTCGACTTTTTTATTGCTTGCCAATAAAAAAAGTTTTTGCAGTAAAAGGCAATACAAGAATCTCTGTATTTTTAAAGTGAACAATGGCCATGAGCATTAAGATATTTAGTGAAGAATTATTTTACTGAATTGTGTGATACCCTTGAACACTGCAGCAAAGTTTGAAATGTTTAAGTCAAAAGAGGGCTGGTAAGAAAGAAAAAAAAACTGAGTTGAGCCTTAAATAAATTTGGGAATCATGATTGTAAACAAGTATTCCAACTTTCAAATTAATATCTCAAACAGTTCAGTCAAAAAGTGGACTGGTACTAAAAACTTAACCAAGATTCTAAGTCGATAAAAGGCCTTAATTTTTAAAACAAATCCTTGACAGAGTTACCTTCTCTTGCGTACAGATGGGGGTAATGATGTGAAATAGCATTAAAAGTTTCAAAGCAATATCTCAAAGGGTTAAGGCAATAAGTGGATTTTACCCATATTCAATGTATTTTCTAAGTCAAAAAGGGGCATAATTCTGTCAAAAACCTTGACAGAGTTATGTCCTCTTGTCTGTTGATGAAGGTCGTGATGGTAAACAAGTATGGTCAGTTTCAAAGCAATACCTCCAATGGTTTTGAAATAAAGTGAGGTGGTACAAAAAACTTAACCAAGCTCAATACACTTTCTAAGTCAAAAAAGGGCCATAATTCTGTCAAAAACCTTGACAGAGTTATGTACTCTTGTCTGTAGATGGAGGTTATGATGAAGTATGGTAAGTTTCAAAGCCATACTTGTAATACTTCTGAAATAAAGTGGGGTGGTACGAAAAACTTAACCAAGGTGTGACGCCAACGCCGACGCCGGGGCGAGTAGGATAGCTCCCCTTTTCATAGAAAAGTCGAGCTAATAACTGTGAACTCCCACGATGATTACAGTAATTTTCTTTTCTTCTTCCCCTGAGCGGTCTACGCGAATTAAGGATTTTTCGGCAGTCACCTCCGCAAAGTAAATAGCAAGAACATGGACCTTTCTACAAAAATTTCCTTCCGCCAATTCAAAGACACATACAGTATATGACCAAAATTCCTTTTATCTGAACTGTATTAACAAAATTAGACATCTTTTTCTAAACCATTTTATCAACATCTAAATTACCAGACAATTACCATAGCATTGACTGCTTGATGTTGCTCCTCTAATATAAGTGCTTGTCCCAGCTGCTGGACAAGCTACACAGGTGTTGGATAATGTGTTCACACTTCTGTATGTACCTATTTGACATGGTTCACAGGTGTTGCCATTCAGCTGAGTCCCTATTGTGCATGGTACTGTAAAAATATTGAAAACAAATTAGCTCCAAGTAACATATCAAAATTACATTAAAATACTTAATTTACATTTTTTGGGGTTACCTTTTTTTTTAAAATTCATTACCACTTGAACAGAATTTCAGTCTTATTCCTATGGGTAATTGTCTAATAAGTGCTCAGGGGTTTTGTACCAATACTTCACTGCTTTTTGCTGAAATTAACTGCCAAGTTCTCCACATAAATCATTTCAAACACCTATAGTAGATGAATTCCATAAGATGTACTGAAGTTCATCAATCAAATTGTCATGGAAACATTCGCCATTCCTTGTTTTATACTCACTGAGGAACATAGTCCTAAAGAACTCAATACTGATATAATTGGGCAACCTTTCTTAATTTTTATAGCCTAAATGTTGATGTTTTAAAACATGGCTTTGTGCAATGTCCCTTATCTTTGTGTCTTGTCGATTTCTTCAGAATACATGAATAACAACAAAATACGAATGTGATGTCACATCAAACTTCATCTCCTTTTCCAGCAAAATAAAACAAACTAATACACCGTGTATATCCAATAATGCAGGAATGTGCAAATAAACAGGAATTGTACAAAAGTAACGCAGAATTGTGCAATTTAGTGGCTAAAACATGCACCACAATAAATAAATGGACCAATATTTTTTATTGTACACCAAATTGGAAGAAATAAGTTAGCGCATATGGTTGCTGAGACATTATACTTTAAACCTCATCAAAAATATTTCCATGAAAATTTTTGTTTTTCAAGATCATTCGTGAAAATGACGACCTGACTAGCGTATTGATGGCGATTTTAAGTTTCATTGATATCTTAGAATACAATAACTTACATATTACTTTATGATTTTTTTATATTCGATGTACCTGAGATATTTTCCAATGACATTTTAATACCCCCGCGAGACTGCTTAGGAAATGAAGAAGTTACAAATAACAGAAACTCCTTGTAAAAGAATTTAAATAGAGTTAACCTTGTTGGCGATTAAAGATAGTTGTGGTTCTCGTATGTTGCATTTCCTTTCACTGTGGTTGACCATTGATGAAATTTTATTAAATTACTTTAATAAGTCCAGATAGAGTTACAGTTTTTCAGCACTGCACTTCCACTCATTGCACTTGACCATTGTAGGAACATTAGTTTTTAAGCTATGCACTGGACAAGGAAAAGGAAAAGAAACAAAGGGCAATAACTCTGCAAATACTGAAGATGGAGTTATGGTTATTGTACACTGCACTTTCTCTTATTGCGCTGGACCATTGTATGAAGTTGTCTCGAATTCCAAAAACTAGTTTTCAAGTTATGCATTGGACAAGAAAAGTAACAATTGGCAATAGCTCTACAGTAATAAGTCCGAATCGAGTTAAGGTTCTTATGCATTGCACTTCCTCTCAATGTGCTTGACCATTGTATGAAGTTGGATAGAATTCCAACCATTAGTTTTCAAGTAATGCACCGGACAAAAAAATAGCAAAGGGCAATAACTATGTAATAAATCCAAATAGAGTTATTGTTCCTGAGAACTGCACTTCATTTCAATGTCCTTGACCATTGTATAAAGTTACATAGAATTCCAACCATTAATTTTCAAGTAATGCACTGGACAATATAAACAAGATATGTTTGTAAAACATGTATGCCCCCTATTAGCAGTCAATTAGTCATGTGACCAGGTTATTATGCATGACTTATGACCCAGTGAACAAATAATTAATAAGGGTTATCTACTGGTCATTACTATAGTCAAAATGTAATAATTATTGTGACCACATAGGTTGTGTGCAGCAATTTAAGTTATTACAAATCTTACAAATAATATATGCATAAATTTTATGAATCATATAGGCCTCATAACGTCATTCCGTCATTCCGTCATCATCAGTTTCCGTTCATTATCTTAGTAACGGTTGCACTTATTCAACTCAAATTTGACATATGGATATGTCATGAGAAAATACAGGTCAAGTTCGAATTTGGTCATGGTTCGATGATTTTTGGCTTAGTTATGCCCCTTTTACTTTGAAATAATATGAAATTTTCCGTTTCCGTTCATTATCTCCCCAACGGTACAACAGATTCAACTTAAACTTGACATATGGATATGTCATGAGAAAATACAGGTCAAGTTCGAAATTGGTCATGGTTCAATGATTTTTGGCAGAGTTATGCCCCTTTCACTTTTAAAAATTCAGTTACCATTTATTATCTCCCCAACAGTATTACATATTCAACTCAAATTTGACATATGGATATGTCAATGGAATGCGCAGGCCAAGTTCGAATTTAATTATGGTTCAATGATTTTTGGCAGAGTAATGCCCCTTTCTCTTTGTAATTAATATGAAATTTACAGTTTCTGTCCCTTATCTCCCCAACAGTGTTACATATTCAACTCAAATTTGATATATGGATATGTCAAAGGAATGCGCATGTCAAGTTGGTATATTGTCATGGTTCGATGATTTTTTGGCAAGAGTTATGTCCTTTCACTTTGAAAATAATATGAAATTTTCAGTTTCCGTTCATTATCTCCTCTAGGGTATTACACATTCAACTCAAATTTGACATATGTAAACGTCAAAGAAATGTGCAGGTCAAGTTTGATTTTTGTCATGGTTTGATGATTTTTGAGTTATGCCCCTTTAACTTTGAAAAAAGGAAATTTTCAGTTCCTATTCATTATCTCCCCAAAAGTTGTGCATATTCAACTCAAATTAAAGATTCGGATATGTCATAAGAATACATTGGTCAATTTAGAATTTGGTCATGGTTTGATGATAGCTGACAGAGTAATCCATCTTCAACTTTGAAAAAAAAATCAGAAATTTTAAATTTCCGTTCATTATCTCCCCAATGATTGTACACATTCAACTTCAATTTAAACAGATAGATACATCTTAGGAATAAGCAGTTTAAGTTTGAATTTGGTTGTGATTCAATGATTTTGGACAAACTTATCTTTCTTGAATGTTGGAAAAATTTTGAATTTTCAGTTTCAGCACTCATACTTTTGTGGAAATGTATGTAGCCATTATTTTGGCTACAAATATGCAATATGCAATTTACAGAAGGTTAAGACTGAATAATTTCAGTGCCTCCAACATTGTATATAAATGGTTTGTGTTAACATTGAAAAGTTTTAAGGGCTTTGAACTTAAAATGAAAAAAATAATTGCAAACAAATTTGGAACTGAATATTATATCATCTGAAATTTTGGCTGCATACGGGGGCATCCGTGGCATGATGACACATTTCTAGTTAGTTAAATATAAAAATATCAACCTAGGCAACTTGAGTTGTTGAATTTTTGGTCAGAAACTGTCTTTAAGTACAAAGTCAATATGAAACTGACCCCTTAACCCCAAAATCAATTGCGGTCATCTACTGGTAATTACCAATCATCATATAAAGTTTGAGGTTCCTAGGCCTAAGCGTTCTTTAGTTATTGATCGGAAACAGTTTTTACTTAAAAGGTCAATGTGAACTTGACCTTTGATCCCTTGATCCCAAAATCAATAGGGGTCATCTGCTGATCATGAACAATCACCATACCAAGTTTGAAGTTCCTAGGCCTAAGGGTTCTTTAGTTATCACTCGGAAACCATTTTGTCTACGGACCGACAGACCGACAGAGAGACAAATGCGAATTTGAAGTGAGGGCATAAAAAGTAACAAAAGGGCATTTAGTCTAAAAATGAGTCAGAAAAACTTATGGTTCCTGTGCTTTCTCTCAATATACTTGACCATTGTACAAACTTGTATTGAACAAGTATATTTCATGTTATGCTCTGCAACAAGAAAAAGTTAAAAAGGGCAATAACTCTATAATTACTCTGGATAGTGTTATGGTTCTTGTGCACTAAACTTCCTCTTTTTGTGCTTGACCATTGTAAGAAGTTGCATTGAATTCCAACCATTAGTATATAAGTTTTGCACTGGACATGAAAAAGTAATGAAGGGCAATAACTCTGTGATAAGTCAAGATGAAGTTATGGTTCTTGTGCACTGCATTTTCTCTCAATGTGCTTGACCATTGTATGAAATTGTAATGAATTCCAACTAGTGGTTTTCAAGTTAAACTCCAGACAAGGAAAATGCAACAGAAAAGCTACTAAGCGCAGTAACTCTATTTTTACTTTAGATAGAGTTATGGTTCTTGTGCACTGCACTTCCTCTTTTTGTGCATGACCATTGTATGAAGATGTTTTGAAGCACTGCTTTTCAAGTTATGCTCCGGACAAAGAAAAGTATCAAAAGGCAATAACTCTGTAATCAGTCAAGATGGGGTTATAGTTCTTGTGCACTGCACTTCCTCTCAATGTGCTTGACCATTGTATGAAGTTGTATTGAATTCCAACTAGTAGTTTTCAAGTTATGCTTCTGACAAGAAAAAAAGCAATGGAAAAGAAACAAATTGCAATAACTCTGTAATTGCTTTAGATAGAATTATGGTTCTTGTGCACTGAATTTCCTCTTATTGTGCTTGACCATTGTATGAAGTTGTTTTGAAATCAAACCAGTATGATTCAAGCTATGCTCCGGACAAGGAAAAGTAACAAATGGCAATAACTCTGTAATTAGTCAACATGGAGTTATGGTTCTTGTGCACTGCACTTCCTCTCAATGTGCTTGACAATTGTATGAAATTGTTTTGAATTCCAACCATTAGTCTTCAAGATATGCTCCCCGCACCGACCCCCAAACCCAAACTTCGTTTCGGGGATATAATAAACAAGAGGGCCATGATGGCCCTAGATCGCTCACCTGACCCATCAAACTCATCCGAACAATTACCTAGACAAGCATTCTGACCAAGTTTCATAACAGGTGAGTCAGAAATGTGACCACTAGAGTGTTAACAAGGATTATCCATATTTGAGCAGTATGACCTAGTTTTTTACGCAGGTGATCCATATTCGAACTTGACCTAGAAATCATCAAAAACTTACAGACCAATTTCCAGGATACTTGGATCAAAACAGTAGCCACTGGAGTGTTAATAAGATTTTCTATTTTTAGCTCAGGTGACCTAGTTTTTCATGCGAGATGACCCATGTTCGAACTCATATGAGCAATGACCTAGACAAGCACCCTGACCAATTTCGATGATAATTGAGTCAAAAATGTGACCGCTAGTGTGTTAACAAGGTTTTTCTATTTTTAGCTCCGGTGACCTATTTTTTTCATCCCAGATAACCCATATTCGAACTCATCTGAGCTATCAATAAGATAAGCATCCTGGCCAAGTTTGATGATGATTAAGACAAAAAAGTGACCTCTAGAGTGTTATAAAGGTTTTTTCTATTTTTAGCACCGGTGACCTAGTTTTTCATCCGAGATGAACCATGTTCAAACTCATCTGAGCTATCAACTAAATAAGCATCCTGACAAAGTTTGATGATGATTAAGGCAAAAATTTGAGCGCTAGAGTATTAACGAACAAGTGTGGACGGACGGCGGACATTCAATGATCCTAAAAGCTCACCCTGAGCAAGCTCAGGTTAGCTAACTAGTAAAACATCAAACATGATCATCATTATCATTCCCACCATATCTATAAATCTTACCTGACTAATGTCCTCTGAATGCCTTACTTTATTGATACATGTATTTTCTAAAATCTTTTTCTTGTATCATTGAAAACGAAAAAGAAAGTATTTAAAATTGTTCTTCAGAATTATAACAAAAAAATACAAATGTGATGTCACATCAAAACTTCATCTCCTTTTCCAGCAAAATAAAACAAAATATTATTTATTGCTATGTATAACTATATACAAAAATATGTCAAACTGACATAGAATACAAACATTCTTTTTCAAGTATTAAGAACATCACTGGAAAAGAAAAATATATGAAATATTTACCATCATCGATAGTACTAGATACACAATCATCTGGACTAGTGGCGCCATCTCCATTTGTCGTCTGCCCAAATCCACAAGACTGACATGTCAAAATGTCAGATCTGTAGCTACCTTTCTGGCAAATTAAACAGGGACTGAATCCAGTTGTAGAAATTTGTCCAGTACAAGGGGCTGTTTTAAAAATAATAGGCATTTTATAAAATAAGTACTTGATGATCATGTTTAAAATCTTAATCAATGAAATGTTGATGGTTTGATTCTACAAATGGTAACCAATTCAGAGGAATTTAAAAAGTTAAGAAAGGGGAATAATTCAGTAAACATACTGGTACAGGGCAGAGTTATGGGTGTTGGTTCTTCATTTATGATAGTCAAGACATGCCTGGAGTTATTATTGAAAATTTCATAACTGTCGACCTAGAACTTACATTCAAAACCCTTGTTAGGAATCTATATACTAGTATTTCACAAAGGAGGGCAACTCTGTGACGATTTAATTTCTTGCTATTGTTATGGGTAATGGTTAAAGACTTAAAATTATTACCCAGAAGATATTCCTGAAGCTTTATGGAAACATTCCTTGGTTTATAATATATGAAGTTGCAAGCAAAGTCTTGAAACCATGTCACCCATTCCAAGGTAAGTAAACTTTTGTTGTGTTAAAGTCAAGTTGAAAAAACTTGTTAGAACTTATATAAAGTTTATATAGACCATAAAAACAATGTGTTTCCCCATTTAAAAATTGAAAATGGCAGAACATAAGCAGTACTTACCGATACACGATCCACTATTTGTGGCACCAGGATATCTTGTTGTATAACCAGTGGGGCATTGAATGCATGAAGCACCTGCAAGGGTCCTATATGTACCTTTTGGGCATATTGAGCAAAATTCTCCGTTAGACTGCGTGCCAGCTGGACATCGGACTGTAAACATTAGAAGAAGTAACCAAGATAATGATTAAATCCTGATAGGACTAGCAATGCAAAGCCAAAATTACCAATATTGCCAAGAAAAATATTTAAGAATCCAATAAAATAAGTCTTGGATAGAAAATCCAATAATAAGTCTTGGATAGAAAATCCAATAAAATCAGTCTGGGATAAGAAATCCAATAAAATAAGTATTGGATAGAAATAAGCCTTGGATAGAAATCCCAATTAAAAATGACTTGTATAGAAAATCTAATTAAATAAGACTTGGATAGAAAAGCCAATAAAATAAGTCTTTGACAGAAAGAATAAACTAGAAATGCAGCCACAATTGCAAAATTTTAATGTTATAATAATATTTTGTTCCAAATTTGTTTGTACAAACCCTTTTTTTCATTCTGATTTCAGGCCCTTAAAATATGCAACGACTTAAACAAACCATTTTTATACAAAGATCAAGGCCCTGAAATTATTCAGTGCCAACCTATTGCAAATTGCATATTGCAAATTTGTAGCAGAGATAATGATTAGAAATTGTGAATTTTAAATCTTTTCCAAGTTCAAGGGGGATAACTGTCAATAAACATTTGACCATGACCAAATTATAACTTGACTTGTATTTTCTGTTAAAATATCAATAATGCAAAGTCAACCTCAGACATACATTCTTAAAAAGTAAGAACAGAAACTGAAAATTTCTTATTTTTTTAAAGTTTAAATTGTATAACTCTGTCAAAAATCATCGAACCAAAACCAAATTTGAACTTGATTTGTATTTTCTGGTTCAATACCTGCACATGCGATTTCAACCTTATGAGGGTTGTCTCAAAAGTCTGTGAAAAATCTTATAGATGGTTCATTTTTAATGACAATAGATAACAATTTACATATATAACCTATAAGTTTATTATTTTACCTTACAACAAATTATTTATAAAATATCTACTCGAGTTTATTTTTTCAATATTAACGACATTGGTTTGAGTTCCCGGCGCATGTCAAAAAATGTGTGTTTTGTTTTGTATAGGTTTAAATAGAATACGTATATTTCAAATATCTGATGATGTGTCAGCACAATATCGCACTGATTTCCTCTGCTCCTATGTTGACATAATTGTTGAACATTTTACATAAATTTTTTACATAACTTAAGAAATGAACAAGATACGAAAAAATAAAAATATCAAACAGAAAAAAGGAAAGAAAAAATGGCGACATCCGAAGAATGTGCGGCGCAGCAAATAGTTATCAGGTGTTTCGTGAGTATTTCGGGATGACACCTGTTAAATTTTTCAACTAATATACCGAATAGAACAGTTTAGCAACATATCCCGAACATTTGTTTTCAAAAGACATGAACGGAACGAGAGTTCTGCACTACAGAAAGCGAAATTTAGGAAAAGACAAATAGGAAGACTGATCTTCGGCGCCTATTTCCCTAAGCTAAAACTGGTGCAATCACTGCAATGAGACCGAAAGTTCGCCCATAGCAAGAAATTAATGTATACAATCCAACCATTCAACAGAGACTAAGAACCACATAAGTATGTCTGTAATTGACGATTTCTGGGTAAAACTGCATCGTTTATTTGTTAAATTCTTCAGAGAGTATTTGAGAATGGCTCAATTTTATCTGTTTGTTTGTTTGGATTTTACGGCACATCAACACATAAATGGCCATATCGTGCCGAATGCTATAATAGGCTTAAAATATTATGTAAAACTTTGTAAATGATAATAAAAAAGAGCCAATCAGATCCTTGAATACAAGTTTATCTCTTTCAAATAATCGATGATGTTTTTTGATGGAATTGTATTAAAGAGTTCTTTGAGTGAGTTTACATTATAAAATCTGTTACGGGTCTGTGAAAAATCACGACATTCCAGAAGAAAATGCTTGACAGTAAAGTTTTCATTACAACCTACACAGAAAGGGGCATTGTCATTCGTGAGGAGATAAGAATGGGTAACTTTAGTGTGTCCAATTCGGCATCGAAGATGAACTGTTTGATCATGGCGGTTTGACAAAGACAGAGATGGGTTTATATCATGAAGTTTATTAAAGACGGCATTGTCCCAATTTGCTTTCCATTCAGATGAAACGAGTTTATTTATAGCCGTTCTAAAATCACAAAAGCAGGTAAACAATAAGTCAGTTTTTTTTTTAAAATTTAAATGCTTGTTTAGCTAAAGCATCTACTTTTTCATTTCCTCGTAATACCTACATGACTTGGAAAATCCAATATAATTTAACAGATTTTATTTTAAGTATAATCGTGAAATCGTAAAAAGAAAGTTTTCTTTATCATGATTATTGTCAGATTTTTTATTTTTAAAGGATATTAAAACAGAAAGCAAGTCAGAAAAATTCAAAAAAATTATCATGGGTATGCTGTTCTATGTATGACAATGCTAAATCTATAGCTTTTGCTTCAGCAATAAAATTGATGCATTTTATCTGGTAACCTCATAACTAGAATGTAAAAAATCATTTTCATACACAGCCGGTGCTACTTTGCAACCTTCCTTTGAACCGTCCGTAAAAAATATGGTAATAAAATTTTCATGTTCTTCCTTAATTGCTTAGAAAATTCTCTTTGAATGGTTCATGTGAATTTTGATGACTTTTTTATATTTGAAAAGGTTAATATTTATTTCAGGGGAATTGTAAGTCCAAAGGTGGAACATCCGCATCGACATTTTGAAGGATACTGACAGGATTACTTTTTAAGTTTATCTAAATCCCCTTTAACGAAGGCCTAATGGTTTAATTTCCTTTGGTTTGTTTAACAATTTTTTCAATATAACATGGCATAATATTTTTGGAATGGATTTCTGCTATTTGATGAAATTCTAGTTGCATATTGAAGCCAAAAGCCACCCCCCCCCCCCGAGAAAGCCGAAGGGGACGGCTCCCAAGCCTCCGCACACAGACCCCCCTAAACAAAGGTGAGGCGCGAACGCACCCAAAGCCAACCGCAAACCCTGGTGATGCATGGTATCCAGCATTTGAAGATATGATTCTCTTGCAGACCCACACACAACAGAACCACAATCCAATTCTGATCGGACAAGACCTCCGCACAGTCCCAGCAACGTGGAAGAATTCGATCCCCAACCTGTACCTGACAAAACCCCAAGTAAATTCAAAGCTTCAAGGCATCCAGCCTTCAAATGCCCAACATTTGGAATAAAAGAAAGCCTTTGGTCAAATATAACTCCCAAAAACCCAGCCCCACCAACCACTGGAACCCCAGAACCAGACATGCAAAGTTCAGGGTCACCATGGTGCTTCCGCAATAGACAAAAATGAACACATCAAGCTTCCGACCCTGAAAACCTAAAACCACCCTCCACTGCCCACCCCTGGACCCCATCCAAATCTTGTTGAAGTTGCCCCCCAATTGCTCCCACACCCCCCGACCGACAGCAGACAAGAAAACCATCATTCTACATATAGAGAACAATCCATGCCCGGCGCAAGAGCCCCAGCAATATTGTCCATTTCAAGGCCAAAAAGTGCAACAGAAAGCATGCCTCCCCGAGGAACACCTTGTTCCCGCCGGTGATCCCCAGAAAAAGTTGAACCAAGTCCCACTTCAAAGTGCCCATCGTTCAAAAATCCAGAAACGAAAAGAGGAAGTCCGCCCCCAAGTCCAGCATCCCTTAGATCCCCCAGGACACCACACCTCCAAGCAGCCCACGAAAACCCGACTGAAAACCAGTAACAACTCCATCATTTTCCAGACACCAAACCAACCGACCATTCACCACTCTCTCGAATGCTTTGCAGAGGCAACCTGCCAGCGAAACCGGGCGACAACCTGCAGGGTCAGCCGAATCCCTTCCAGGTTCAGGGACAGGAACAACCAACACATCCTTCCAAGTGTTAGGAAATTCACCAGAAACCCAAATTCCGCCAAAAATTTCAAGAAGCAAGCCAAGAGATTGGGGTGGCAGACGCCCAAGAAACTGGTAGCAAACCTCGTCCGGGCCCGCAGCACCGTCTCCCGCAGCCTTAATTGAACAAATCAAGTCATCAACAGAGAAAAGGGAACCACAGTCCTCATCATTTCTTGAAGCGAAACCAATATGTCCCTTCCCAGCCCCACACCCGCGCCGCCGAAACCCACCTGAATAATTGTTCAAAGAAGAGTTCCCCTCAAATGCCCCAGCCAAAGCCTCTGCAACATCCGCCTCCGCCCCGGCATACAGGCCATCAACAGCCTTCAAGTGAACAATTGGACCCCCTACACCTACCACTCACCTTCCGCACCGCACCCCAGACCCCCCCCAATAGGAGCACCCGAATTAATATTTGAAACACACGACCGCCAGGATTGGCGCCCAGACAAACGAATTGGTCCTCCAGCCCCAGCCCCAAACATTTTACAACCCTCAAGGTCCTCCGCTGCAGGGCAATGCTCAAACCCTTCCAGCGAAGCCCCACGTATGCGAACAGCCACCCCCCCCCCCCACACCCATCGTTAAACCATGGCTCTCCGACTTCGCCACCATCATCCTCCGCCAATGGAACAACTTTGCAGGCAATAGCACGCAATGCTGAAGAAAACGCCCCAGCCACATCAGCACAAATTAAACTAAATTCACCCATCGCTAGACCAATGGAACAGAGCCTAGAAAATGTTTCCCAATCTGCCTTCCCAAATTTAAAAAATTGACGTCCCCCATCCGGCACAGAGTCACCTGATGCAAGCAACAATGGAAAACGATCACTGCCGCACCGGTCATCCAACACCCTCCAATCGAAGTCCAAGAATACAGCAGAGTGGACAATCGAGAGGCCGATGCAAGAAAACGCACCTGCAGCTGGATGCAAACATGCAGTTGACCGACTGTTCAACAAACAAAGCCGAAAGCCATCCATCAATTCCTCAGCCATATCACCCCCGTCATCCGCAGATGTACTGCCCCACATAGGATCATGAGCATTAAAGTCGCCCAAGAGAAGGAAAGGTGATGGCAATTGTCGAACAATACTCTCAAGCTCATCACTTGTTACCGTTATATTTGGAGGAAGGTATAGCATCTATTTTATCTAGCTTTTAAACAATATTGTCACAGAATATTGGGACAACCCTCGTATACATACATTTCCACAAAAGTAAGAATGTGGAAACTGAAAATTTCAGCGATAACTGTCCAAAATCATCGAACCATGACAAAAGTCAAACTTGACCTGCTTTTTCCTAAGATGTATCTATATGTCAAATTTGAGTTGAATGTGTTTAACTGTGTGGTAGATAAAGGAACGGAAATTAAAAATTTCTTTTTTTTATCAAAGTACAAAAGGAATAATTAAGTGTATTTCTATGACATATCTATATGTTAAATTTGATTTGAATGTGTACAACTGTTGGGGAGATAATGAAAGTAAACTGAAAATTTCTTATATTTTTCAATGTTAAAAGGGCAAAACTCTGCCAAAAATGGTTGAACATGACTAAATTCAAACTCGACCTGCGCATTCCTTTGACATATTCATATGTCAAATTTGATTTGAATGTTGTACAGCTGTTGGGGAGATAATAAATGGAAATTGATTTTTTTTCAAAGTAAAAGGGGCATAACTCAGAAATCATCTAACCATTACCAAATTGGAATATTACTTGTGCATTCCTTTGACATATCCATATGTCAAATTTAAGTTGAATATGTACAACTGTCACCGAGATAATGAATGGAAACTGGAAATTTCTTAATTCTTTTCAAGTATGTTAAAGATCCTGTAATTTTTTACGGTTTTATGTCATAAATTTGATGCTCAAATTAAGATTTATCAATATTGTAAGTTCCAAAAAGCATTATTTATAAACATATTACCGAAATTAACATTTCATGTAAATAAAGGGAGATAATTAGAAAATTTATTTTCTATAAAGTCTAAGTCAAGTTTTTTCAATAAGAAATGAATGCATATATTTTAATGATTACATTAAATGTGAACAAATATTTTCAGTACACATTTTACATATTCTTCGATGTTTGAAAATTGTTTTATAAGCATAATTATATACACATATAAAATTTCACTTAAGTGTGGTTAAATTACCTCAATTATAACATACAGGATCTTTAAATAAGAGTTGAATGTGTACAACAGTTGGGGAAACTGAAAATTTCATCAATGTGCATGACCAAATTCAAACTTGACCTGCATTGTTATGCCCCCGCCATATAATGGCAAGGGCATATAGTGTTACCCTGTTCCGTCATTCCGTCATTCCGTCATTCCGTAATTCCGTCATTCCGTCCTTCCGTCATCATCAGTTTCTGTTCATTATCTTAATAACCGTTGCACATATTGAACTCAAATTTGACATATAGATATGTTATGAGAAAATACAGGTCAAGTTCGAAATTGGTCATGGTTCAATGATTTTTGGCAGAGTTATGCCCCTTTTACTTTGAAAATAATATGAAATTTTCAGTTTCCGTTCATTATCTCCCCAACGGTACAACACATGCAACTCAAACTTGACATATGGATATGTCATGAAAAAATACAGGTCAAGTTCAAATTTGGTCATGGTTTGATGATTTTTGGCAGAGTTATGCCCCTTTTACTTTGAAAATAATATGAAATTTTCAGTTTCCGTTCATTATCTCCCCAACGGTACAACACATTCTACTCAAACTTGACATATGGATATGTCATGAGAAAATACAGGTCAAGTTCAAATTTGGTCATGGTTTGATGGTTTTTGGCAGAGTTATGCCCCTTTCACTTTGAAAATAATATGAAATTTCAGTTTCCGTTCATTATCTCCCCAATGGTACAACACATTTAACTCAAACTTGACATATGGATATGTCATGAGAAAATACAGGTCAAGGTCGAATTTGGTCATGGGTCGATGTTTTTTGGCAGAGTTTTGCCCCTTTTACTTTGAAAATAATATGAAATTTTCAGTTTCCGTTCATTTTCTCCCCAACGGTACAACACATTCAACTCAAACTTGACATATAGATATGTCATGAGAAAATACAGGTCAAATTCAAATTTGGTCATGGTTCGATTATTTTTGGCAGAGTTATGCCCCTTTCACTTTAAAAATAATATGAAATTTTCAGTTTCCGTTTATTATCTCCCCAACAGTATTACACATTCAACTCAAATTTGACATATGGATATATTTTTGGAATGCGCAGGCCAAGTTCGAATTTGGTCATGGTTCAATGATTTTTGGCAGAGTAATGCCCCTTTCACTTTGAAAATGATATGAAATTTACAGTTTCTGTTCATTATCAACCCAACAGTATTACATATTTAACTCAAAATTGACATATGGATATGTCAAAGGAATGCGCTGGTCAAGTTGGAATTTGGTCATGGTTCGATGATTTTTTGGCAGAGTTATGTCCCTTTCACTTCGAAAATAATATAGATACATCTTAGGAATAAGCAGTTTAAGTTGGAATTTGGTCGTTGTTCAATGATTTTGGACAAACTTATCTTTCCTGAATGTTGGAAAAATTTTGAACTTTCAGTTTCAGCACTCATACTTTTGTGGAAATGTATATAGCCATTATTTTGGCTACAAATATGCAATATGCTATTTTCAAAAGGTTAAGACTGAATAATTTCAGTGCCTTGAACATTGTATAAAAATGGTTTGTGTTAACATTGAAAAGTTTTAAGGGCTTTGAACATAGAATGAAAAAAATAATTTGTGCAAACAAATTTGGAACTAAATATTATAACATTTGAAATTTTGGCTGTATGCGGGGGCATCCGTGGCATGATGACACATTTCTAGTCTGATGATAAATCAATTTGTCAGATTTGTGTTGAACGTGTGCAACTGCTAGCAAAATAATGAAGGGAAACTGATGATGACGAAATGACAGAATGACGGAACAGGGTAACACTATATGCCCTGCCATTTTATGGCGGGGGCATTAAAATCCAATTGAATATGCCTTGGATAGAAAAAATTCAATTAATAATACTTGGATAGAAAATCCAATTAAACAAATCTTGGATAGAAAATTCAATAAAACAAATCTTGGATAAAAATCAAACTGAACAAGTTTTAGATAGATAATCTAATAAAAAAAGTTGACCTTTATAATAACGTAAATGTTGATTTGTAAACAATACAGACACATGTTAAACTTGTAGAAAGTCAAGTTCTTTATTTTAAGTATACCCTCAGACGTATACCCCACCTTTCTCTGTATTATTTCAATCACAAACTGCCAAAATTGAGAAAATGAGTCAATAGACAAAACAATGTTTTTAGGAAACTTTAACAAGTGTAAGAAGTTCCTAGTATATGAAATTATCAATATTGTATTGATAAACATTTCTAATTTATTATTTTGTTTATGCAACAATAAATTTGAACTAAAAAAACAAGTTACTGTAGTTCACTGTTATTCTTAGTTTACATTTCAATCATTCAAATTATTGACAATATAAAAGACTTGATTGTGTGTCCAATAAGTAAGTGCATATCTCCTAAATTCTAAGTCAATTTATTTCAGGTTTCAAAAGTTGTCAGCTGTCATCATTCTTTTTCCTTTGAAAAAACATTATAGTTACATGTAAACCCTAGCTTCAGTCTGAGAATTATTTTCTGAAATTTGGAAAAATTATCCATATTTGGAATTAGTAACTCAACCATTGACATATATATAAAAATATACAAAAAAATATTTTACACACAATGGTCTTGTGTTACAACACCGCAAGAACTACTTACCACACTGTTCATTATTAGTTAAGGACGCAAAAAATGGTGCAGCACAGAATAACCCCCGGCCGGCGCCTTCAGCTACCTGATCCCATTTTAACTCAGGACAGTTTCCACTGGCTGGAATATTACCATTCAAAGGATAAGTGCTGCCGATTCCATCAATATCATTGAGAAATGAGGTCGCACACTTCTCATATATAGTAGTGTCGCTATAAACTATGGTGTAGGAAAAGATCATTTCAACCTACAAGGAAAAAAAATGATTCTACAACAAGTACATGTACCAGAATTAAAACAACTTAAAGGTGTGTCATATAAGTGAGTGTGTCTAAAAGTGAGTGTGTCTTATAAGTGAGTGTGTCTTATATGAGTGTGTCTTATAAGTGAGTGTGTCTTATAAGTGAGTGTGTCTTATAAGTGAGTATGTCTTATAAGTGAGTGTGTCTTATAAGTGAGTGTGTCTTATAAGTGAGTGTGTCTTATAAGTGAGTGTGTCTTATAAGTGAGTGTGTCTTATAAGTGAGTGTGTCTTATAAGTGAGTGTGTCTTATAAGTGAGTGTGTCTTATAAGTGAGTATGCCTTATAAGTGAGTGTGTCTTATATGTAAGTGCATCTTATAGGCGAGTGCGTCTTATAAGTGAGTGTGTCTTATAAGTGTGTATGTCTTATAAGTGAGTGTGTCTTATAAGTGAGTGGGTCTTATAAGTGAGTGTGTCTTATAAGTGAGTATGTCTTATAAGTGAGTGTGTCTTATAAGTGAGTGGGTCTTATAAGTGAGTGGGTCTTATAAGTGAGTGGGTCTTATAAGTGAGTGGGTCTTATAAGTGAGTGTGTCTTATAAGTGAGTATGTCTAATAAGTGAGTGTGTCTTATAAGTGAGTATGCCTTATAAGTGAGTGTGTCTTATAAGTGAGTGTGTCTTATATGTAAGTGCATCTTATAAGCAAGTACGTCTTATAAGTGAGTGTGCCTTATAAGCAAGTACGTCTTATAAGTGAGTGTGCCTTATAAGTGAGTATGCCTTATAAGTGAGTGTGTCTAAAAGTGAGTGTGTCTTATAAGTGAGTGTGTCTTATAAATGAGTGTGTCTTATAAATGAGTGTGTGTCTTATAAGTGAGTGTGTCTTATAAGTGAGTGTGTCTTATAAGTGAGTGTGTCTTATAAGTGAGTGTGTCTTATAAGTGAGTGTGTCTTATAAGTGAGTGTGTCTTATAAGTGAGTATGCCTTATAAGTGAGTGTGTCTTATATGTAAGTGCATCTTATAGGCGAGTGCGTCTTATAAGTGAGTGTGTCTTATAAGTGTGTATGTCTTATAAGTGAGTGTGTCTTATAAGTGAGTGTGTCTTATAAGTGAGTGTGTCTTATAAGTGAGTGTGTCTTATAAGTGAGTGTGTCTTATAAGTGAGTGTGTCTTATAAGTGAGTGTGTCTTATAAGTGAGTGTGTATGTCTTATAAGTGAGTGTGTCTTATAAGTGAGTGTGTCTTATAAGTGAGTGTGTCTTATAAGTGAGTGGGTCTTATAAGTGAGTGGGTCTTATAAGTGAGTGTGTCTTATAAGTGAGTGTGTCTTATAAGTGTGTATGTCTTATAAGTGAGTGTGTCTTATAAGTGAGTGTGTCTTAAAGTGAGTGTGTCTTATAAGTGAGTGGGTGTTATAAGTGAGTGTGTCTTATAAGTGAGTGGGTCTTATAAGTGAGTGTGTCTTATAAGTGAGTATGCCTTATAAGTGAGTGTGTCTTATAAGTGAGTGTGTCTATATGTAAGTGCATCTTATAAGCAAGTACGTCTTATAAGTGAGTGTGCCTTATAAGCAAGTACGTCTTATAGTGAGTGTGCCTTATAAGTGAGTATGCCTTATAAGTGAGTATGTCTTATAAGTGAGTGTGCCTTATAAGTGAGTGTGCCTTATAAGTGAGTGTGTCTTATATGTAAGTGCATCTTATAAGCAAGTACGTCTTATAAGTGAGTGTGCCTTATAAGCAAGTACGTCTTATAAGTGAGTGTGTCTTATAAGTGAGTATGCCTTATAAGTGAGTGTGTCTTATATGTAAGTGCATCTTATAGGCGAGTGCGTCTTATAAGTGAGTGCCACTTATAAGTGAGTGTGTCTTATAAGTGATTGTGTCTAAAAGTGAGTGTGTCTTATAAGTGAGTGTGTCTTATAAATGAGTGTGTCTTATATGTAAGTGCATCTTATAGGCGAGTGCGTCTTATAAGTGAGTGCCACTTATAAGTGAGTGTGTCTAATGGGAAGCGAGTGCATCTAATATAGACTGGTTTGATTTTGGGAAAATGTTCATCCTAACGGCATTTTTTAGTACAAGCAGGAAGTTGGGCTTACTTACCTATTTTGAGTACGCTGAATTCATTTTTTGCTCTACCAAGGCTGTATTTGTAGTCCTTGACCTTTAAAAATCAATTTCAAAATGGCCGCCATTGAATTTTTTAATTAAACTTTAATTCTCCCATGGGCGAGATTTATACACATTTTGTGGCATTTTTATTTAAGGCTTTGTTAATTTTAGTCTACTGAAGTGTGGACGAGAAGAATAGATGCAAAAACAATAAAATTTATTGCGGCAGCCATCTTGAATTTCAAAATGGCGGACAATTTCCTATGTTTTATGCACTGTATTATAATTAAAGGAAACAAACACATACTAGGCATGTTTTCTTTTATTAGAAGTGCAGTGATACTAATTAAGATTTCCAAGCAAAGACTTTGAAAAAACATCCACTAAAAACTACAAACTTAATGGTGCAAAAAGGTCACAATTTATACACTAATACAACGTAAATGAGAGTCATATTTGCGTTCACTTTTGTCATTTAGATGTTTTTTTATACTTCTAAGAATATAATGCATGTTGTTTAAATTATTGCGATGTTTTTTTAATTATCGTCCTGAGGGGGGACCTGCTCAAATATCTGTCCGTCTGTCTATCTGTCCGAGCGTCCTCTTGTGTCAGTTAGGAGTATTTGCGATCACAATTTGGCTTTTAGATTAATTCCGTATACCACCGACCTATAGGATGAATCATTGATTATTGGAGGCAAAAGGCTGCTTTTGAAATAAGAAACAAACATGAAGATAACAGACATCTTCACAAATCTCCCAGTAAGAGCTTGTCCCTGTCAGTCCGTTTTTAATCCCGTCCATATCTGTCATTTTTGGATAGATTTTGAAAATAATTGCATTAATGTGTGGCACATTGAATACAATGTCATAAGAAAGACCCAGGTGTGAAGCTCAACTCCTCAAGTTAGACTTGAAAGTGCTTGAATAAAGATGTGCATTTTAGTATTCTGTCATTTAGAGATGAATTTTGAAATAGTTAAGCATAAATATACGGCCTATAACGGATTGGGAAATTATATTCCTATATTATTACTTAATCTTCAAACAGGGATACCATGAAAATTGTTTGTTTATTGCTTAATTTGTCAATTGCGCAAAAACATGTACTGGGACGTGTAATGCTTGACAGCCAATTCAACAGCCCAAAGATCAGGGTCATGTCTATCAAGAAAGGCAATTTTGTAAAAGTTCATAAGTTGGGAACCCGGTCAACAATTTTTCATGCACGACCTGATATTTAAAAAAAGTCTTAGTATTTCCAAAAGTAATATAGGAATCGCCATCCAGGCTAGCATTCGAAAAAAAAAATCATGAAATAGACTACTTTCCTGAAAATAGAGTTAAAGTTTCTTCTTGTAAGTGAAATATTCCATATGGTATTTATCCCATAGAAGCCTCTACATACTAGTGTCGAGCTTCGTGCATGAGGATAGTATTTCATTTGCTTATATGTAACCCGACAAGAACATGGTGGTTGAGGCCCCTGTGTTAGGACTTTTTTCGTCTGTTTTGTTATCATGTCATATTAAGTTATCTGTTTTGATTGGCCTAGAGCGGGCGGAGTTCGGATAAAATTATTTGAATCTTGTTAATTGTATTATGCCGCCGTCCTGGAACGACAATAACTTTGCGCAAATGTGTAATTTGAAAAGGTCGTGTCACGCACAAGCAGCAAGCAGGGTTATGTCTACAGTTAAACTTCTATATCATAAATCATGATATAAACGTAACAAGATGTTTGTGTCCGATCTATAACTTTCTCATTAATTGATGCCTTTTGAAATAATTTGGACAATGAGTCACATGTAAAATCCAGCTGATGATGTAAATCAAAGACCAAAATCATACTTTCCCTTCGAACAAAATATTTCCTTAAAGTCTCTAAAAAGTCTGGTTAACGATTTTGTCATTCATGGATGAATTAAAAATCATTTTTGGATAAATATGGCGCCTCTTTATAAGACGACATGTAGTAGACAAAAGTTCCAAGGTCACACTTGTATTTCAAAAGTCATGATATGAGAGTGCATTTGGGGCCATGTCCAGTCCCATATATGTGTATTCAGTGGGAGCTAAGAAAAAATACGTGGTACTTTGAAACAATTTGTCTTGAGGGAGAAAAGAATTATCGCATAAAGTTAAAAAGATTTCAGACATTAAAGGTCATATTTCATTTCATATAAATATTTTGAAGGTCATGTCCCGGTCATGAATTCTGTCATTCAATGGATGGATACTGGCGTAACTAGGCATACATTTATGGCACAATTAGGACTACGTGTAATGTTTTAAAACACTAGGTTGATAGCTAGATAGGTCAATTTAGAACATTGATGGTTGTGTCTATATCTTTGTCATTTATTCATGGATGCTTTTTAAAAATAATAAGAAATACTGATGATATAAATAAATGCCTTCTTAATGTTTCTAATGTTTGTAAAAACTTGTAAGACTACAGTGACCATGCCTTCAATGTAAAAAATGGAAAAGAAGATTAACAAAGAAAGGTGGGCATTCAATAAACGCAGCCCCAACACGAACCAGCAACAAAGGTAATGGATCCTAATATAACTGAGCCGAGCTTCGGAGACATTTCAAGTGGCACGCCCTTGTTTATCTTTGTTTTACATAATTATCAGGGTAGTCCAAAAATAGTTGGTACAAATTTTAGTGACTAAAATTACACTAAGAAATACCAAAGTAATTTTATAGGGTGATAGTTGAAAAATATGAGATAAAATGATATCAAAAATATGTTATATCATAATGGAATAAGATACTCATCAATTTCTTGAAAGATAGCCAAGAACAAAATAAGTATGAAGATTTGATTATATCTTAGTCACTTGAATGATTTTTAAACATGAGATTGAATAAGGTG